TAGATATTGAATGAAAGGAAATAAAATCATTTTACTAACAGTGACCCGTCATAACCTGTTTGCCAACGTCTCGTGAAGTATAACAGTACGCACCCAAAACGTCGCGGTACTACCAGTGACACGCGACAATCGATGTACTTTTCCTAAAAATAACTACTTCTGCCATTTACTTCTACGCTTTATTTTTGATAAATGACAATCGTGCATGTTGGTGTTCCATGGCCTTGTTGATTTTACAGGTACCTTTCAAAAATGTCATCTCGACCAGCAACCAAACACAATGTCTTCCCAAAGTCAAAATTCAGTCAGTAAATCGATCATACAATTCGTTCATGGTTTGAATTAAGTAATGTGGATGTACCAGGGGAACCAATCACGAAACTCCACTTCACCCCTTAACCATAAAAAGACAAACAATGTACAACCAGCTTCACTACGTTGCTATTGACTCGTGACATCCTATTTAGCGCGCTGTAGAAGGCTCCCAAGTCGTGTTTTCTTTTGAGGGGCTAAAGGAGCAACATGGCCTTTCAGAGATTGCCTTTACTTCTTGTACTTTTTTGTGTTAAATGTACCCCCTTGTCCGTTGGTCAAGACAGCAATGATCTGTCAGCCGCCTCCTATACCCTTTGCGAAGGATCTCCTGAAAACGTGAACTTTCGGATCAAGGTACGACCGAAAGACAAAGGAGGACAAAAGGGAAAACGCTTTCCGCCAAATTCAAAGGAAAGACACGCCAAGAAAACTTAGATGGAAAGATCGAACAGGCCAACGTGAAAGATGTCATAGTCATCTCTAAGGAAGAAATATGTTTTCAAGCCTTCGTTGTCGATACAACAATCATCGTTGATCAGCCAACCGACTTTAAGATGGCCTGTCCGACTCCCACAGATGACGACGCTCTCCCTTGCAAGGAACTCGGGTCCAAGGTAAAACCGGTCTTAATTTGTCCACAAGCCTTAACGGACTTACTGATGAAGAAAGAGATCATCCAGACTGAGCCAAGTGAAAGGCCTGGACCGAACTCTTTCAAAACCCCAACTTATGACATCACCAACGATATGCGACAAGCTTCACTTGTCATCGCCGACGGCCTAACCCAAGAATTCAACAAAGTGGTAAAGAACCGAAGAAATGTTTTCAATGCCGCAAAAACACTGACTTTCGCGACATAGGTAAAAAACTTGGGAGCTTTTCATCTTTTCTGGATGCTCTGGGTCCAATGCTAGGTATTTTTGGCGGCATTACGTCCATCATTACAACCTTCCTCACGCCCAACCCTTTTGATGAAATGGTCAAGTATTTGGCAAAGGAGTTTGATGAAGTCAATCGACGCCTTACATACATAGAAACTGACATTCAAGACTTGAAAAAGTCGTTCAGAGCGAAAATAATATTGTTGCAATGGCGTCTCAAATGAAAGCCATAAGATATTCCCTTCGTGCATATGAGCCAATGGTAAAGAGTCTGTCCAATGCCCCCGTGTGTGGATCAAAAAATCTACTCAAGCGACCTGAGGTTCGTGCATTTATGAAGCAATACACGAAGGATAATGTGGAAAACAGTCTCAAGGACCTGTATGGAGGGATTTTGGCGAGGTACTGGAAGCCTCATCACTGATGAAGTCGTTCATGCGTGCTTACTGTGGTAAAACCCTGCTAAAGTTGAACGCTTTATGACTGAGATATCGAACTACGCCTACGCTGGCTCCATGGTCCACTTTGCATTCAGGGCTCTTGAGTGCCGAAAGCCAAAAAGGAAAAGGCCCATTTACTGTAAGAAGGAAGAGGAGGAGAAAGACGAAGGGAACGAATTGTTGAATAAGCTCTACCGATTTTTGAAGAAAGCCAATGCCATGAAAGAAGCAATTCAAAATCCTCCCTATGGTCTGCAGCTGGATATGCAACCAGATCTTGATGACCTGATCAAAGACGAGGTATTAAAGGCAACAAATAAGAAAGAGTTCCCGGAATCCTTGATAAAGTATACGATTTCATTATCAAAACGTTATATGATATAAATGATTGGCCCGAAGCCTGTATTGTGAACCTCAAACCTGATAGTGTAGTTATTATTCAGGTAGCTCAATTAATTAAAGACGCGGTTGTTTACGGTTATGATTATAAGCCCTGGGCCTTGGGATATGAATATACTAACATAGGCTTAGAGAAAACTAAGTACAGAGTTAGGGGCGTTGGTAGGGGATTCCGGCATACATTAGTAACTGATGACATGCAATTCCAACCACTTTACAAGGAAGGTGACAAATCATGTAAATGCCAGCAAGGGCCTAAGCTTAAGGAATCTTGTAATGTGACAGCTTGGCAGCATTTCCCCCCACAAAACTGGAACCCCCCGTTCGAGTATCATCCATTCGAAGATCGAATTCTCTACTTCTTGTTTAACCCTATGAGTTACTTAATCCGATATCATCCTTCATTTAATAGCATCAGGAACAGGATTAAGCACAATCCCATCGTGGTAACTAATTTGATTCCGATTTATGTGTTTTACAAAGAAAAATCGTTCACTAAAGATTTTTGCAAGTTTGACTCAGAACCGGACGTTGTAGTGGCGTGTTTGCATTACTTGAAGTACGTCGCTAAAAACCAATTTTATGACATGACTTGTCGAGGTCCAGATCCAAGTGATCCAAATCGAGGACCTTTGTGGCCGGAATTTGAAAACTATGTGGCAATCGTTTCAGATAAGCTGTAGCAGTGTCTGGGGATCTCAGTTGTAAAGGTTACGATTTGAGTGTACCACTTGGACACTAAGCGCCTTACCTTAAAACAGATCATAACAAGCAGTATTGTCGAAACAGGCAACTGCTTAGCTAGAATTTGAAGCATGTTAAAAGTCCATATGACTCAATAAACCTGTTTTGATTCTGTGGCCTTGTGTTTACTTATTCTTCTTCGCATGATAGTTTCGGACGCTCCATTTAACTTTTGAGATGACCGGGGAAGATTTAGATTTCTAATTCAACTCAAGGAAAATTCGCCAATTCTTAAGATCCCTATTATTTCTTCGTCTAGAATTGAGCTGACTAGCCCATCTGCTGCTAAACCTTGTTCATCGCTTTGTGTTGTTTCCCACTGATCTTTAGAACAGGAAAGCTTACAACAAACCTACACGTGCATATCAAATGGCCCTACCATCTATTGTGACTTCATGTTCTAGTAAGAACCTCTCAATGGTTTTAAATGCGTCAGAGTCCGCAGTACCTTCTGTCTATTTCTCTATTTCTTCCCTGAATCGATCCACCAGTTTTTTTTTTTTTCTATCTCCAATCAACGAGAAAACTACCGAATATTACAGTGCGACTACTTCAACCAAGACCACCCAGGAAAATTTCCTGCAAACTTGCCAATGAGAATCTCACATCGGAACAATGGATTTTCACAAAATTGATTATGTATGACAAATTTACCCACTATCGAAGCACAGCAAAATTCAAATTGTGGCTATTCTGTTGTTTCATCACTCCAACACTATTGGCCAATTTTCTAAAAAAAAATACCATTTGAGCACTGTTCATTATGACATTTCAGCAGTTTATCATTTGTCTGTGCTTTTTTTGACATGTGCAGATAGTTGCAAGTTTTGTTGCCTCACTTAGGAATTGATCCTTCATTTCAGGCAATTTCTTGCTTTTTGCCCTGGTAAATTGGGGCAACTTTCTACAATGAGGGCAGTACCACATTTTTGGAACTGTTACATTCTTGATACCCAAACAGGATGGGTGAAATTTGGATATTTTGCATGTGTGGTTGGCACATGTTATTGGTGCTTCACTAGTTGTTTCCTGCAGTAACAGTCACCAGGTTTTGTGACTTCTTCTGGGGAAAGCTGGGCTTTTAAATCCATCTTTCGGGTATACCATCTTCCCAATATTTCTGGTAATATGCAAATTCTCCAGAAAGTCTCTAGTTTGGGAATTTGTGTTTCCCAGTGTTTCATGTCTGGAGCAAGCCTTTCCAAGAAAAATTTCGATGTTTGCCCATCTGAGGCGAACACAATAAAATCTAAATATCCTCTCCCACTTGTATGGATTTGTTGTTGTGCTTGGTAATAATAGTCATGATCTCTTTTGAGTTGGAAACAAGATTCTGTTTCAATCGCCTTTAGATATTGAATGAAAGGAAATAAAATCATTTTACTAACAGTGACCCGTCATAACCTGTTTGCCAACGTCTCGTGAAGTATAACAGTACGCACCCAAAACGTCGCGGTACTACCAGTGACACGCGACAATCGATGTACTTTTCCTAAAAATAACTACTTCTGCCATTTACTTCTACGCTTTATTTTTGATAAATGACAATCGTGCATGTTGGTGTTCCATGGCCTTGTTGATTTTACAGGTACCTTTCAAAAAATGTCATCTCGACCAGCAACCAAACACAATGTCTTCCCAAAGTCAAAATTCAGTCAGTAAATCGATCATACAATTCGTTCATGGTTTGAATTAAGTAATGTGGATGTACCAGGGGAACCAATCACGAAACTCCACTTCACCCCTTAACCATAAAAAAGACAAACAATGTACAACCAGCTTCACTACGTTGCTATTGACTCGTGACATCCTATTTAGCGCGCTGTAGAAGGCTCCCAAGTCGTGTTTTCTTTTGAGGGGCTAAAGGAGCAACATGGCCTTTCAGAGATTGCCTTTACTTCTTGTACTTTTTGTGTTAAATGTACCCCCCTTGTCCGTTGGTCAAGACAGCAATGATCTGTCAGCCGCCTCCTATACCCTTTGCGAAGGATCTCCTGAAAACGTGAACTTTCGGATCAAGGTACGACCGAAAGACAAAGGAGGACAAAAAGGGAAAACGCTTTCCGCCAAATTCAAAGGAAAGACACGCCAAGAAAACTTAGATGGAAAGATCGAACAGGCCAACGTGAAAGATGTCATAGTCATCTCTAAGGAAGAAATATGTTTTCAAGCCTTCGTTGTCGATACAACAATCATCGTTGATCAGCCAACCGACTTTAAGATGGCCTGTCCGACTCCCACAGATGACGACGCTCTCCCTTGCAAGGAACTCGGGTCCAAGGTAAAACCGGTCTTAATTTGTCCACAAGCCTTAACGGACTTACTGATGAAGAAAGAGATCATCCAGACTGAGCCAAGTGAAAGGCCTGGACCGAACTCTTTCAAAACCCCAACTTATGACATCACCAACGATATGCGACAAGCTTCACTTGTCATCGCCGACGGCCTAACCCAAGAATTCAACAAAGTGGTAAAGAACCGAAGAAATGTTTTCAATGCCGCAAAAAACACTGACTTTCGCGACATAGGTAAAAAACTTGGGAGCTTTTCATCTTTTCTGGATGCTCTGGGTCCAATGCTAGGTATTTTTGGCGGCATTACGTCCATCATTACAACCTTCCTCACGCCCAACCCTTTTGATGAAATGGTCAAGTATTTGGCAAAGGAGTTTGATGAAGTCAATCGACGCCTTACATACATAGAAACTGACATTCAAGACTTGAAAAAAGTCGTTCAGAGCGAAAATAATATTGTTGCAATGGCGTCTCAAATGAAAGCCATAAGATATTCCCTTCGTGCATATGAGCCAATGGTAAAGAGTCTGTCCAATGCCCCCGTGTGTGGATCAAAAAATCTACTCAAGCGACCTGAGGTTCGTGCATTTATGAAGCAATACACGAAGGATAATGTGGAAAACAGTCTCAAGGACCTGTATGGAGTGGATTTTGGCGAGGTACTGGAAGCCTCATCACTGATGAAGTCGTTCATGCGTGCTTACTGTGGTAAAAACCCTGCTAAAGTTGAACGCTTTATGACTGAGATATCGAACTACGCCTACGCTGGCTCCATGGTCCACTTTGCATTCAGGGCTCTTGAGTGCCGAAAGCCAAAAAGGAAAAGGCCCATTTACTGTAAGAACGAAGAGGAGGAGAAAGACGAAGGAACGAATTGTTGAATAAGCTCTACCGATTTTTGAAGAAAGCCAATGCCATGAAAGAAGCAATTCAAAATCCTCCCTATGGTCTGCAGCTGGATATGCAACCAGATCTTGATGACCTGATCAAAGACGAGGTATTAAAGGCAACAAATAAGAAAGAGTTCCCGGAATCCTTGATAAAGTATACGATTTCATTATCAAAACGTTATATGATATAAATGATTGGCCCGAAGCCTGTATTGTGAACCTCAAACCTGATAGTGTAGTTATTATTCAGGTAGCTCAATTAATTAAAGACGCGGTTGTTTACGGTTATGATTATAAGCCCTGGGCCTTGGGATATGAATATACTAACATAGGCTTAGAGAAAACTAAGTACAGAGTTAGGGGCGTTGGTAGGGGATTCCGGCATACATTAGTAACTGATGACATGCAATTCCAACCACTTTACAAGGAAGGTGACAAATCATGTAAATGCCAGCAAGGGCCTAAGCTTAAGGAATCTTGTAATGTGACAGCTTGGCAGCATTTCCCCCACAAAACTGGAACCCCCGTTCGAGTATCATCCATTCGAAGATCGAATTCTCTACTTCTTGTTTAACCCTATGAGTTACTTAATCCGATATCATCCTTCATTTAATAGCATCAGGAACAGGATTAAGCACAATCCCATCGTGGTAACTAATTTGATTCCGATTTATGTGTTTTTACAAAGAAAAATCGTTCACTAAAGATTTTTGCAAGTTTGACTCAGAACCGGACGTTGTAGTGGCGTGTTTGCATTACTTGAAGTACGTCGCTAAAAACCAATTTTATGACATGACTTGTCGAGGTCCAGATCCAAGTGATCCAAATCGAGGACCTTTGTGGCCGGAATTTGAAAACTATGTGGCAATCGTTTCAGATAAGCTGTAGCAGTGTCTGGGGATCTCAGTTGTAAAGGTTACGATTTGAGTGTACCACTTGGACACTAAGCGCCTTACCTTAAAACAGATCATAACAAGCAGTATTGTCGAAACAGGCAACTGCTTAGCTAGAATTTGAAGCATGTTAAAAGTCCATATGACTCAATAAACCTGTTTTGATTCTGTGGCCTTGTGTTTACTTATTCTTCTTCGCATGATAGTTTCGGACGCTCCATTTAACTTTTGAGATGACCGGGGGGGAAGATTTAGATTTCTAATTCAACTCAAGGAAAATTCGCCAATTCTTAAGATCCCTATTATTTCTTCGTCTAGAATTGAGCTGACTAGCCCATCTGCTGCTAAACCTTGTTCATCGCTTTGTGTTGTTTCCCACTGATCTTTAGAACAGGAAAGCTTACAACAAACCTACACGTGCATATCAAATGGCCCTACCATCTATTGTGACTTCATGTTCTAGTAAGAACCTCTCAATGGTTTTAAATGCGTCAGAGTCCGCAGTACCTTCTGTCTATTTCTCTATTTCTTCCCTGAATCGATCCACCAGTTTTTTTTTTCTATCTCCAATCAACGAGAAAACTACCGAATATTACAGTGCGACTACTTCAACCAAGACCACCCAGGAAAATTTCCTGCAAACTTGCCAATGAGAATCTCACATCGGAACAATGGATTTTCACAAAATTGATTATGTATGACAAATTTACCCACTATCGAAGCACAGCAAAATTCAAATTGTGGCTATTCTGTTGTTTCATCACTCGAACACTATTGGCCAATTGCTAAAAAAAATTCCTGGGAGGCCTGGGTGGGAGTAGTTGCACTGTGAAATCATTACACGGACTGTCTACGTTTTTGTGCTTAGTGGCATAAAGCCAGTACGCATAATGTCATTATGTTGTTAGTAAGATAGTCTGTAACTTCCGAATATACTTTATGGTAGTTCACATATAGTCGGGGAGACTATATCTGAAGTACCATGAAGTATATGCCCTGGATACAGGGGTCTACAGGAGTATACATGTGTATACATATGGGCATATACTTCATGGTACTTCACATATAGTCTCCCCGACTATATGTGAACTACCATGAAGTATATGCCGAGATGATGTTTGTCAAGTGTCCTGGAATACTTTGATTGAGAATGGGGGAAATGATGTGGATAGATTATTCTCATCCTTTTATAATAAACTTAATAAAATTGTTAATAAGCATGCTTCGTTGAAGGTTTTATCCCAGCGCAAAGCAAAGCAGCTCTCTAAACCTTGGATAACAAGGAGAATAAAAATTTCAATTAAGGTTAAAAATAGATTATTCGCTTCCGGTGATAACACTAGATATGAGCTCTATCGAAACAAAATATGTAGCCTGATCAGGTCAAGTAAAAGGAACTACTATTTTGACGGGAGCGTAGCCATTGATGTTATATAACGAGAACAGAAACGATTTACTTGAATAGACAGAACGACAAGAACCTGTGGAAAAGCATTTTTCAGATATTAATATATAAATATAAAATATTCCATACACTTTAAGTAGCCGGTAAGGGCGACAATGGCAGCTATAAAAATTTGAGTTCGAAGCTGGATGTTTTTCACCCTAGAACCTTCTGGATAAAATATGCTAATGGTTAACTAAGCGAGGAAATACACCAGTCCTCACCAAAAATCAGTTAACTTTTCAAAAAACACTGTCCTATACATTATAAAGCTACTAGTAAGCTCTTGGTAGAAAAATAAAATTTCAGGCATGTTCGCTTTCAATTGGAATTTATTTACTCTACTAGTTTGCTGTTTCATTTAACTCCATTAGAACAATCTGTTATATCGACATTACAACTTTTTACCAATTGTTTGGCGTGAAAGCATTTCAATACTTTCAATCCGTTTATCAGAATATTTTTAAGAGACAAACAGAATAATCCCGGGAGAAAAAAAAGATCGAAATAATACAGCCCATGCGGCTTTGTTGTTGTTGTTGTCTTCTTAACCGTCATCTCCTTATGCTAACGGTGTCTGTGAGTTATCCTTACTTAGGAGGCTTTATCTACTCGTATCGGGTATTATTTTCTGAAAACGGAGTTTTTTTCCTCCGTTTCTGTCATGCCTTTCGTTCACGCATAAAAAGGCGTTTTTGTGCAAGGAAAACGCTAGTTTTAGGCCTAGTCAACACGCGTCCGAATATTTTTGAAAACGGAGAAATTCATCTCCCTGTTTGTGCTAATAAAGCTGTTATGAACTGATACATACCACCCCAAGACTTGTCAGTGTACCCACCAAATATGTAACTACCGACTTGGATGATGGTTACAGTGGGACCCTTTCCATCACAGTTGCTGTGGAATGTTGATGCCGCCCAACCATCTGTCTTAGCGTGCCAACACCTCACAAACCTACTGCGACCTGGACTCTGAAGGACTGGGTCTAAATATAAACTCAACTTAATGAGGTACTTGCTGTCAAGGCTGCTAAGAATAGTGGATGAGGAGATGCGTTCTTCAAAAGATAACACAAAACAAAACAGACGCTATGGAAATTATGTATATTACTAAAAAGAGCGGGGGTGCTTTATCAAGCCTAATTAAAAACTGCTAATTTTGAAGGTTTCAGAAATTTACTTTAGATCGATGTCACCAATTCCTTACCGTCTTCCATTAAAAAAAAAAAAAAAAAAAACCCAACACCAAATCATCATGAACCATCACCAAAATACTCTCAGTCTCTTCGCCGAATTTAACTTTAATCCCTGCTGCGTGTTGAAGTAAACAAAAAAATGAATTCTACAAGTTATTGTACAATTCTGCCATACTCGGACGTTGTTGGGAAACTGAGACATTATATAACATGGCGGCCATTTAAGTGCGATTTCACTGAAAACCTCAAACCTATGAAAATATTGTTGGCACAAAAAAGCGCGAACAAAATTATTCGCACTCTCTTTCTACTCCCTCACTTCATTAAAAACCGTATATCTAGTAATCATAGCAACAATTTGTTTCCCTAAACATCACCAAAATATTTCCAAAGAATATACAAAACTTGCTCTCCCCTTGCCCCCACCCCGCTCCTTTCAAGTGTAAGTGTAAAAAATGGATGAAAGTTTCGTTAACCTGTCTTTTGAAACGTATATATATGCTGACAGATATTCCAAATGTCTTAGTCATATATATAAAATCGCACCTCTAACTTCAGTGTAGGTTCCAGTCTCAGCCTTAAACACTCCTGCATTCGTTGCCATACAAATGTAATTTCCTCTATCGTTCCTTGATATATCTCTTATCACTAAGGAGCCATTAATCTGCTGACTCCGCCCGACCGGCAGTTGACCCCCTTGTTTTTTCCAGCTGATAACCGGTTGTGGATCACCAGTAGCGCTGCAGTTTAACTTCAAAGTACCTCCGACCACTGCAACAATTTTAGCAGGTGGTTTAACAGTGAACCGAGGAGGAGAAACAACAACTAACAGAGTTTTCTTTTCAACGCGTCCCAACAGGTTTGATCCTGAACAGACGTAGAAGTCAGAGTCACCTTTACGAAGATGAAGAATTTGTAGTGTACCGTTGTTGTACTTCACTCTTCCCTTGGGTAATGAACCGGATGTCTTTCTCCATGAGACCACTGGTGCAGGATACCCAGTCACGTGACAGGATGGGAGAGTATAACTACTTCCTTTAATAGCGTGATGAGGTCCCGGATGAAGGGAAACTGGAGGGTGAACTGGAACAGATAGAATATTTTGACTGGTTTGCTTTCAATTCGTTTTATTGATAAGACGATTCTAGGATTTTAGGCTAGATTTTACGATACGGCTGACTAAGCCACGAGAAAAGCATAAATAGCTCTGAAGAAAAAAAAACAACAACAACAACATAATTATGATATTCAGTTGTGTATAACCTTTTTTTTTACTATGTTTTGAAAAAAAATGTATCCGAAGCAAAATGTAAGGACAGGACGGTTGGTTTCTTACTATTTATTATTTTTTTAAATTTCATAAAGGTCTTACCGTTTACTATCAGCTGTACCAGTGCCTGCGCCTGTCCTAAAATGTTAACCGCTGAACAGTTATATGTACCCGAATCACTTCCTCGGACATTCGTAAGAAGCAACTTTCCTTCTGAAGCCAATGATCGGCTTATTTGTGACTTGCTGTTCCGTTTACTCCAATTGATTGCAGGTTTAGGATTACCACTCACTGAACACTGAAACGAAGCTGATCTACCTTCGTTAACTGTCAGTGTTTTAGGAGACAAGGCAACAATAGGAGCTGAAATTGATTCACCAGGTACTCCTTTAACTCCCGGCATGCCTGTAGGTCCAATGTCTCCTTTTTGTCCCTTTAGTCCAGCCTCACCCTTCGGACCTACAAGTCCCATGATGCCTTGCTTGCCACTTTTTCCAGGAGATCCCATAATGCCCTGGTCGCCTTTATTTCCTGATTGTCCTGTGTGTCCTCTTCGTCCTCGGGATCCTTTGTCTCCCTTCGGTCCCGGTGGACCGGGAGGACCTGGGAGACAGCTATCGCCATTTGAATGACAGAGTTGAGGTTTTAGCTCGGATAACAGTTTGTTTATCTTCAGAATTGTTTCCCTGTCAACTGTGATTTTAGCTCCCGTGGTGTTTTTCAGTACATCGGCTGCTCGCCTATTTCTATGGAGCTTGGCGTATTCAGATTCTACAAAGAACGTTTTTAATATGTCAGTGCTAAAGACCAAAGCAGAGAACCCTCTACCTCTAGTTAATCTTAGTAAATACCCTTCAATGCAGAGGTCCACTTAACGCGTAAATAAAACTGACTGGTTCTTTCTTTCCGGATCTCTAATGTAGAGATGCTAATGCCAGACGTCACTTGAAGTGGGAATTAAAACAAAACTAAATACAAGGAAAAAAACGCCAGTGCAGAAAAATGTCAGAAAAACTGAACGAACTTACATAAAAGGCAGCTACTGAAAAATTGGCCTTAACACTGAATTAAGTAGAAGATAAGGGAATTGACTAAAACGCAGAGGCGTGAAATTAGAAAGGTAGTTATACAGGTACTCACAGTTGAGTCTAAACTTTCAAAGGTTGCATTAAATGTTGACGTTTAATCAATATAAGAAGAGTGATGGGTTTAGTTAGCACACTGTATAGTAAATTAAAGCATTGTATATGACTATATGTAATTTAATGTATTGTTTGTGGAGTCGTTGTTAAAGTTTAAAAATTTATGTTTTTGTAGTAACGAGAGTCCAAGAATTTTATACAGTAAAAATGACTGTAACATTCGCCGGCGATTCAGGTGATCTCATTTTGGCGTGGTTTTCAGGCGAGGTTTTCCAAGGAGAGAGATGACAGGCGTTTGGTACTTTGGGTAATATAGCACTAAAAATAAATTTGAATACTTGGTCAGCTGGTAGAGAAGGAGATTAGGAAAGGACCTCACCTCAGCCTCACTGATCTCACTTATTCGCCTCTCTGCTTTCAAAACAAGAGAAATTGACTGGCTAGCCTGTGTACAGACTCCACCTCCCCTCAGGAAAAATCGGAGAAGGGGTCCGTTCTCCTATTTTTCCTGGGGGGAGCCGGGGGGTCTGTACACAGGCTATAGACAGGAAATAAAAACATTGCTCTTCCGAAAATACAACATGCAGACTATCCTCGTGATTGACAGGTCAATCTAGGAAAAAGAAAAAGGTCCACTAACTCCAAACATAACAATGTTTGTTCGCCAAAAAGGAATGAGGGCTTTTCTTCTGCGAGAAAATAAAGTGTTGTCTACTCAAATTTGACGACTGTTTCAATATATACTCCCAATCACCACGTTTTTAATGGCATGCTGACTCAATTATAAGCAAAGGGAATCAGGTTAGAAAATATTAATATTCCTTATAAGAAAACTTGCTTATTGAGACGAGACTGAGTGAGAAGCTCGGAATGATAATTACTCGTCCGATCGATGCTCGGTTTCTGAAACTTAAAAAGTTCAGGTGTTATTTGACACAATAAGACAGTTCACCTACTTTTGAGAAACAAAGATCATCAAGTGATCAAAAGTCGATGTTTTGAATATTTCTTCCCTACAAAGAAAGCATATGATGACCTGTTCACCTTCGGTTTTCTTTACTAGTTCTGCGCCACGAAAACGCAAGGACAGGATATTTTCTAAAATCGCAGAGTTATTTTTAGAGCAAAAATAAAATAAACATTCTGTGTGATACTTTTACGGTAAAATATTCATACTCTTAGTAAACTAGAATAGAAAAGACTTACCACGAGTTTTCTTAGCTAACTGGTTAAGGTTAGGGACGTCTGACGGCGCAGTCTCCTCGTTGTTTTCAAGGGCGTTTATTCTCTTCTTCTGTTCGTTTAGCTCCAATTCTACTCTCAGAAAACCGGCGCAGTAAAAAACAATCGATAAAACAGACAGAATCGAGGTAAAGGAAGGCAAACTCTGCTTCTGAGAGGCCATCATGGTCTGATGATTAGTTTACATATGGCAAGAATTGTTAAATGTTGTAACAGCTGATAGTCAATGCGAAGATCACGATTCATAGGTATCTTGCCAACTTTGTACTCCTCTTATCTTGTCTGTAATATCATCCGCAGAGTCAAAGTTCACTTTAAGCCAGGAAGTTTTTCATAAGGGGCTTCAGTTATCGGCTTGCAGCGACCACGTTCCTTTTTAATGCTTTGCGCTGTTGTCGTTTTTGCTGTAACACGTGTTATTTTAGAAACATGCACGTGCCTTAACGTATTTACTGAAAAACCATGCAAAAAGCAAAATTAAGGAAAATTTATACAATAAGAGAAAGAGACTTACTAGTACTATCTCAAACGTACATTATCGTGACTTTTCAGAATTCCAGTAGTTCGGCTGTTTTGCGATATGTACATTTACATGTAAATCCCTTCCGTATTCTCGGTTTTCAAATGACGTCACCAAAATTTAAAGTAATATATTATCGCGAGGTATTACTGACAGCACTTACAAATTTTCTGTTCGAAAGGGTTCTATGTTTTGCAATAGAGGACGATTGAACTTTCAGGGTTTTGCGTGACGCGGCCGTTTAGCTGGGAGCCTGGAAAGCTATTATTTGGGTTAAAAACGTTTTACCAATTTTTTTTGAGACTTTGCTCTCTTAACATTCCTTGTCTCAGAATAAATATAACTTTAAAAAGTTATATTTGTTCTGATCTCTATGAGTTCCTCAATAAAAGAATTCATGCGTTACGTAGGAAAACTCAAAAACAGACTCTGATGTTTCTGTTAGTTTTCGGCGGCCATATTTAATTGTGCCCCCAAAGGGACACCAACATGGCGTCTCCTTACAAAGCGTTCTAAATTTGGGTAAAACGCACAGACCTGATTCTAGGCGAGGCTTCTGCTATATTTACCCTCCGTTTCATTGCCCAGATTCTGGACTGTCTGTATTGACTGGTTTGCAATTCTATTTTTGATGGCGTGACAGTGAAAACAGAGAATACGATACACAACAACATTTTACTTTAGTTACCTATCACTTTTAAAGGAAGTTCGTACAGCTAAGTACTGATTGACTCGCAAAGGTAAAGCAAAAATAGCGCTTAAGTCCTCTTCTTGTCAACATGTAGATGTAAGCCAAAAATTAAGGGATACAATGTAAAAGGGAGAGATCGTTGTAACAGAAAAAAGAGACTGAGGAGTTCGACGGTCTAAATTCTGATTCCTGTACCCCTCACCCTTGAACTTGAATATTCTCTGGTGCCGATTGTTACGAGACTCAAGAGTCACATTTGTTTTGACTACAGTTTCCGTTTAATGATATCTCCAGACTTTAATAAAGTTTATTTGTCATCCTTTTTCAGATAGTTTTGTTGGATCTCTAGGAGTTAGACGGCAGTGAGTAATAGTGACATTCATCCCTTCTCATTCATTAGTTTTCTTCAATTTCATCTAAAAAATAGTCAACCATCTCTAAGGCCGACACCTTCGGGACCGACTCTGACTGTCTGTCTAAGAGAGACGTCCGGCTAATAGGGCGATCGAGGTATCGTGATACCAATTTTATTTTTAAGCTGAATCTCTTAGCAATGAATACACGTCTGTTTTATGAGTCTTTAATTTGTACTGAAAACAGCTAAAACTGGGACTTGAGACGGAAAGTGGAATCATTTTCTCATCGTGCAATCAAGCGTTCATTACAACTAAACGTTCACGGCTTCGTGATCTGAAAGCGTAACAGTATACACTCTAGGAACTGGTTCAAGACTACAAAGTATCAAAAATTTTCACAATTTACTGTCATGTACAGCACCTACATTACCGTTTTGCGGTATTTTTCACTACATAAAGCACCTCCTAATTGTCTGTTGACGGTTTCAAAAGTGTCCGTTGTCCGTCTTAGAGAGGTGTACGTCTTACAGAGAGTATAGTTACAGTAAAATGACTGAAAAACGACAGGGCCCAACACCAGGTGTCCGTAGTCTTAGAGTTGAATGTATATTTTGATCATACTCTTCAAATATGTTATTACAACTTTTATCTTTATATGCTGCTTTTCATTTTTTTATTTATTATTATTTGTTCAATTGGTGCCCAACCTGCGTGACAAACTTTTAAAGAAACAGGATAGGCTCCCCCGCGCTTGGGTGTCTTAGTTTCCCCTTTCTTTCATCCCTTTCAAACGTCTGCACAAAGGCGCATTACGCGCGCTGTGAAAGCTAATCATTACAGGTATTATTACTAGTAAGAAAGAAAGCATATTTCAAAAGGCGTGGGATTGGCGTTGTAACGGCGTACCTCGGCCAATCCATCTATTCGCTTTAAAAAGGTTTCTTTCAAGTAAAGCGCATAAGTGAAACCAAAACCGAGCGAATTAAATTAAGTAACTTAATTTTCATCTTTCTGATGTTAATAACCCGCTCAAAAGCATTTTTGGAAGTTTAAGAGTGTGTCCATGAGAGAACCAGGCAGGCAGTGATAATGCTCAAATCACGGAATTCGCTCAAACTTGGCACAATTGATGGGTGTGGTGAGATATTAACCTCGACAAAAAATAAGGTCGCAATATTGAATTCCCTGGGATTTACAGGGACCCCCCCTAAAAACGACAAAATCTACTCATTTTTGCATAATTAATTAGCTAACTTTGGTTTGGCTGTTCAACAAGAAGAAAAGACAACTTCAAATCTAATCAACTTTATCATCTTCTATGTTTATCAGACTTAATGCTCAGTAATTTATTTTTACTCTCTAATTCCATATCTTCCTATTATTTAGCCTAAAGTAAAGACATCTTCTAACTGTTTTGACCAAACCCTAAATTTAAGGTATTTTAGTGGCTAACATCTCCCATGAGCAACAACCTATGTACTTAATTCTCACATATTCTTTGAAAGACATCTTTAAGGTTATCAAATCAATCATAAAATATTTGGGCAATCTCATACTTTATCAATAATGACGTATTATGTACATCTGACTTGACTCTTTTTGTCATTTGACCAAAATACGAGGAAACGTAACATTCGTTTTTCTAAACAAAAATAGCACAAAGTTGGCGAGAAGTCACAAATCAGATGCCTCATTGTCGATACTAATAGCGGAATTGTTAGAAAGTGTCACCTGAGGCATGTTTTCTGTGTTATTTATGGACGTTTGGATGGATATTTTATGGAACGCTTGAGTAAACACAAGGAGCAAAAGATTTAGTTCAAAACCTCGATCGGTCCAACTTGTAGGTGAAACAAGACCCAACAAGGATAAAAGATAGTGAATAAATGTTACATACACGTCTCTCAGATGCTTTAGTTCAGATTTGCTGCTCCAGTTTCGTCTGGTCCTCTGTGGCGTTACTTCGTGACGAGGTAATGAAATCGAAACATCTTGAAACATTGCAAAATTAAAATTGTCGGCTTTTCACCGAACATTCGAAGTCTTTGAAATAAGTTGTAGTCAGAATGAACAAAATCATTCTCAAAGGACAAGAAAGATCACTGACAATCCGTCTATATCTACGGAAAACAACCACCTGCTCGAACACCCTCCATCTTTGACTTTGGACTCTGCCAAAACGATGGAATCTGTGACGCCGGACTACCGGACTCCGGAATGCGGAATACGCTACCTATTGTTTGTACGCGCCAATATCCTGTTATAACTGGTGTGTTGAAAATAGGTTGCGAAAGTCGTGTTACTTGAAATTTTGAGTTTATTCGGTGTTGACATTAATTACCATGATAATAATCGTCCATAATAGCCCTTTTCGTAGTCAGACCGTGCCGTGCAATTTTTAGACAATTAATGACTTGCCATTGGGTATACTGACTTACTTACTTGTATTTTAATCGTCGTAGTCTTACAACTATACAGGTTGGTATCTGTATCTGGGTATATTATTGACTACAAAAATATAATAATAACCGTTTATAAAAGTGTTGAGGAAAAACTTCTGAGGAATACAAAAGACCCAAAAGGAGGCACTAATACACTGCAAAAAAAGTCGACAAGACTTCTTTCGCTATTCAAGGAAGGTGTAAAAGAACAGTTTCTTGAACACAGACTAATACACTTTAGTATATACACACTCAGTGATCTTGGTGATTTAAGCAATCTGATTGGTTCGCTATCTCGGACTATTCAACAATATTCACCTCCTAGCGAGTGGATAATGTGTGAGCTCAGTGTTTTTCCCATTTTTTAGAGAACGATCTTTTAAAAGTCGACAGAATCCTAGGGCTGACTTTTTTTAAGGCAAGAAAAGACTTGGAAGGATTCAATACGGCGTTTTTCAATTTACTGTAGCACTCAGTAGTAGCAGGAGTTTTGTGCTCGATGGATTGTTTACAACTCCCGTGTATTCGCGTAGAAGAAGCCGTTTCCGTTTTCTAAGAAGACAATTTTGGCTCAAAAATCGAAGTTTATTTATGACAAACAAATTTAAAAGGAAATGTTTGCAGAAATTCTACGTTTCAAGTAAACAGGAAAAAGAATGATACAGAAAGACGACGTCTTACCTCGAGCAAATGAGCCGCCATTTTTGTCAGCACTTCATGCGAAGAACGACACAACAAACCCTTTTGGCTATAAACGTGGCGAGTCAACAGAAAACAACACAGCTCTACTTTTCTTCTCAGGTAAGGAAACAGTTCAAACTTTTAGCGGTTCCATTTAAGCCATTACGCTGTTGTTTGCGAAATGATAAACTTGTGAATTGCCATGTTTGAAATTTCTGCAAAGATCTATTTTTAAACTTACGCGTGATTTGATCTGTCAATCAAATCGTACTTTTGAATGGTTTCCTCTCTGATTTTGTTGAGATCACTTCATGTGTATATACTAAAACAATTATTCTTTTCAATCTCGGTGAATAGTGGCTTTGGGAATATTTACCTCGCCGCTTTCGCGTCTCGGTAAATATTTTGCCACTATTCACCTCGATTTCAAAGAATAATTGTTAAATATTAACTTCTCATTTAAGCTGTCATTTGCGGATTCATACAGTGGATTAAGTTCTCTTAACGGACACTCTCGTATATAGCGAATAGCTCTACTTACGACCGCCATCACAAAATCCCGTTTCAACTTCCACACAAACTCTGGATTTTTACATTCCCGTAGGCGGCCGCGGACACTTAAAGGGTTTACCGGTGAATTAGATGTTAGCTTTGATTTAAAGCTCTCGTAAGCAGACACTCGAAAGAAAATCTTATCCACCTCTTAATGTTGTTGTTGTTGTTTTTTTTTTTTCATATCATGTCCACAGTCATTGCTGTTTGTCACTGTTATGAATCATTCTTATATATCCGTTTCAGAGTTACCGTATGAGATTCATTGTTGTAAGCGGCCAGCTCCAGTTAAGGACGCCTTTTTCTCTTCCCGAGGGTGTCCTCTTACGAGAGCTTCCACTGTATTACAATTTGGGAAGGGTGTTAAACATATGGAAGCAGTTGTTTGAGAAAAATATCTAACTCAATGTGAAAGTGTGGTGTATTTTGAGTTCTACTTGGGAACATTACTGCCACAGTTAGGCTTTATAAGACCCGCAAACGACAGTGCTAGATAAAAAATTCAGTGTTTATGACAGTCAAATCTGGTGCCAGCAGGGTAGGGCATTTGTACGCAATTTGGCCACTCCCCAGGGGAGAAGGGACTCCAGTATGAAAAAAAAAAAATTATTCTTGTCGCAAGCCAAATTGGACGTGTCTCACGCTTTATTTGTCTCTTTGAACTGGTCTGCACGAAGATCCGACTTCACTTCGCTGCTATTTCACGTGCGACTAAAATACAATAAATAGTTCTTTCCAAAACACGAAGACAAAGCGACTTCTATCCTCGAGTTTGAGAAGACATGGGATCATTTATTATCATGGTCTGAATAAAGTTGCCAATAGATTTGGAATTCTAAATTATTTATTAGCATACAATAACAATAAAATAATCTCAAAGAATGTCGGAAAGTCATATTTTCGACTGAATTTTGTTCACTGGACTCTCGCTCCTGGATCCTGGCTCCTGGCTCCTGACTCCCGATACGATGTTTCCGTATGGTGGCAACCGCTGCTTAAAAATGCGGGCTCCAGTTAATGTCAAAGATGGCGGACGTTTGTAACATGTGAATTGAGCTACAACAGTGGCAGAAATAATTCTTTCAATGGGTTAAAAATCGGCTTTCTACTTTTCGTATTGTTTTCTCCTAAAACAACTTGATTTGGATTTTGGTGCGTAAACTGATGGCTAAGGAATTTTAGTCGTACAGCGAGTCACGGCGCTGAACTACGCTTAACTGGACATCGAAGGTGGCATGGGGAACAAATCAAAGCGTGCACAAACTAGCAGTTGAAACATCTAAGAGATACGTATATGGATTTTATTGACCGTTTATATTGTTTTTAGGGCGAAATTGTTAACGTAAGTAAAACTGTGAATTAAATCTTTGTATGTTGTTTTTAGTTGAAAAGATCGCTTATATAGCTATCAAAAATCATCGTTAGGGTTTCTTGCACAACAATTTCAACGATTTTACCCTTTATTAATGTTAAATCATTGTCTGATGAGTTTTTTTGTTTGATTTCTCCTCATTCAAAGGCAAACACACGAATATTGTGAGGGCCTGAATTTTGATGAAATATGCAAAAAGTCGTTCAGTCACATGAACAGTTTATGTCAACACATGGAAGAAAGTGAATTGCCCAAACTTTTTATGATCTTTTTCTCAACTTAAGTGATGGCTTTAACTACTCATGCAAAAGTTATAAAGATAAGCTGTTGCTCATCAGAGATATTTGGGAATAAAATACCCTAATTTTACGACTTACTCAAAACTTGGAAATGATGACCCAACCTAAGGGGGCTAAGAGGGAGGAAATCGAATCGGCGACTTTAAACAGTTTAACGTGCTTAAAGTCTTATGAACTCAGATCATCTCTCAGTGCATTTAAGTTCAGGGTGGCTTTTCTGTTTGTTGCACTGGCATTGTAAAGTTAGCTAATTAATTATGTATAAAACGGGCAAAATGGCGATTTTTACAGGGGGAGCCCGGATCTCCCAGGGAATTTAATATTTGGACCTGACATTCTTTCACATAAGTTAACTCCTGATACCTAACATTTGTGCCGAGTTTGAGCGAAATCGGTGATTTGAGCATTATCACCCCCTGCCTGGTTCTGCCTGGTCTTCTCATGGACACACTCTTAAGACTTTTAAGGTGAGCTTGCAATTCTGTACTCGCTGGTACTAAACCTTTGTCATGATTCCACAATACAGACACCTCCTTCCTTCATAGGCTTGTGGGGTGTGTGCAAAAGGATTGTTTGCTGAAGTTAATTGTTCAATATTAAATATTCAATTTTTGAAAGAGCGGCTTTGATGACTCAGTGTACGAGGAAAAAGTTATCACACGCACTACTTTCTTTTGTATTTTGATCAGTCTGTCCTGTCCTATCTTATAATTACTACCCCGGAAAATATTATCATAAATAAGGTGAGGGTATGTCAGTAAGGAATACAGATGTAATAATTAATCATTCTTTATAAAATGGCGAGCCTTACATAAAATTCCTACTGTTTTTGCTATTTTGCATGTTAAATAGTTTATGATTTTTCCACGTTAGATTCTCATATATCATTACTCCTAAGAAACTAGTGTTAATACCTTTATTATTTCTGTAAGTCATATTTATTCTAATCAGCAGCGTAATCTTCAGTTCTTTCTTACATTTTTTCTTATGGGATTTAAATATAATATAGTCAACCTTCTTTAGGTTCAACGTCAACTGACTGTCTTCAAGCCATACTTGTACCAGGAGCCCATAACCTGGAACGAGCAACTTCCATGTACTCGTGTCACGGCGTTTTTAAAGACCAGTTTATTTTTAGAAAGGTTTTAACAAGAATTTAGAATATCTTTAAAGTCCCACAAACCAGTCAGCAAAACCTACAAACCTAAAAATAATAATTTTTGCCTGTTAATGACGTTACGTTTTCCTTTTTGATATCCTACATTTTGAATGCGTTCATAGACGTGTCGGAGATTCCATTTTCGCGGGAAAAATTGCCCAAAAATGTGTCTAAAAATGGGGATGCTCGCTCCGGGTTATGGGCCCCTGCTTGTACACGTTTCATTTGCCTCAGTTTCAAGGGTTTCAAGTTCTTCAATATTCTTGCCAGAAATATACAGATTAGTGTCTGCATCGGCAAATAGTGTGAAAATAGCAAATTCGAGCATGTCTGAATATCATTTACATATAACAGGAACAGCGGCAGTCCTAGTACGGAGCCTTTTGGCACTCCACATTTATCGAATTGTTTTCAGAATAGGTGGAATTGTTTTTAACATCTTGCTACCTTTCGGCAAGATGATCTTATTACATAGACCTCTTATGCCATAAAAATCTAATTTCTGCAACAGTTCGTTGTGATTTACGGTGTCAAATGCTTTAAACAGATCCTGGAAGATTCCAATCGTAAATTCATTGTTTTCAATTGCCATTTTAATTTTTTCTGTAATTTTCATGAGTGCAAGAAAGGTTGAGTGCTTACTTGTAATCTAAAAGCCTTCGGTATAGCAGCTTTTCTCAAAATCTTTGAAAAACAAGTTCAAACGGACATGGGTCTGTAGTTGGTAAGCTGTTTGTTGTCATTTGCTTTGAAGACCGGCGTTATTAGTGAAATGTTAGTTCATGAGGAACCTTGCCAGTACTAAAACTTGAATTGAAAAAAGTGGGTTAACGGCTCACTTATTTAATTTGCAATACATTGAATCATCTGTGGACTCAACCCTTCATACGCCAAAACCCTTTTTTGGATTCAACTTTGCTATTTCATTTGCAACCTCATTAATTGTGATTTCATTTGGAAACATTGAATTCATACGTATAGGTACCTCTTAAATCGCTCAGCTTTCCTATATAGTAACAGTCAAACACTTTAATTCTCGAAATACACCACTTCCTTCATCTGGACAGCTTAAACTTAACCTAGTGTACTAAAATTGCAACCATGATCTAAACAGTCTAAAGTTTGAATACTGTAATTCGTTGTTATAATGGTTTACCTAAAAGCGCATGATAAAAGCTCCAACGTGCGCAGAACGCAGCTGCATAGCAATTGTGTTGTTCCTCTTTTACCCAAGTCCTGTTATATTATACCAGCCTGTTCTTCTTGTGAATCTTCACTGGCTCCTGAACGATCTCCGAATTGACTTTAAAAGAATTTGTTATTACTTAATTCAAACCAAAACTTCCATTTAAAACACTTTCCCTTGGGAGTCTACGAAACTGCGTTCATATATGATGTATTTATACTCGGCTTGGGTTGGCAGACGTGATCTACCTTTACAGGGTTTGAGTTGTTGTCTCGTAAAACACTTCAACATCAATGGGAGTAAAGTAGATACTGGATCCACCTGCATAAAATCTACAGGAAGAGTAATATGCAGAGTACCCATGAGGGAGAGGGTAGGAGTAGCCACAACTAGTGTAGGAATTGCGGTTGCTTGCAGCGTTGTTGGATATGTGCAGGTCGTGTGCTCCACCAAAGGTTGGTCCGTATCTGGAACATGTGTCTATGGCGGTACTGTAACGACTAGACTTGATGTTCACCTTAACAGGAGCGTAGCCATTGATGTTATATAGCGAGAACAGGAACGATTTACTTGAATAGACAGAACGACAAGAACCTGTGGAAAAGCATTTCTCAGTTATTATTTAAAATTGTTTTGAATAATTTTAAATAGTAGCAATTTTAAAAAGTAGCAAGGGGGACAATGGAAGCTATAAATATATGTGTTCCAAGCGGGATGATCAGCTGGGTCATCTTTACTGGCAGCCAGGTTCCGACTCTGTGCGGCATTGAAAATGATCTTCCGCCAGTAGATGTAGTGGCTGGATTGAAGTGGAGAATTTTGCAGATTTGCAGAGATTTGTACAACCTAGTTAGTAAAATAAGCGAGAAAAGAGCTTTCCACTGTTACCTAATTTAGTAAATTTTGACCAATTCTGACAGTTACAGGCAAAAAAAAAATCAAGCAACATTTGGGGCAAAAAAATCCACTACCAATTTTGCTATTTACTTACTACTCAGTTACAGATTAAATTTCTTCCTTGGTTGGAAAGAAAGCCAGCCAAAATTTTCTGCTAAAGAAAGACGATAGAGTGGGCAACGAAACTGCTTATAAAAAGAAACGCAAAGGGAGAAAGAGAGAGCGAGACAAAAAAAAATCGAAATACAGTCGCAAAAAGAAAACAAGTTCACATTTTGGCTTATGCGCATGGGCGAAAACCAAAGCCGCTGCTTAATTAAATCCAATTAGCAGAAATTTAAGTCCTGAGTGTCTAATTTAGCCATTCTCATGCTACCCTTTGCGGTCAGCTAAATTTTAGGAAAACACCGCATTTTGGACCAAATCTTTCTTTTTGAACCGTTTTCCGGCCAGTTAGGTTAATAATCCCATATCCCCTATGATATAATTTGTTTGCTATTAAAGCTTCCGTAAGGTTATGCTTACCACCCCAAAACATGTCAACGTATCCGCCAAATACGTAACTAATACTTTCTGGGACTGGACGAAGACTTGTCAGTATATCCATCAGATATGTAACTAATACTTACTAGGATTGGACCAAGACTTGTCAGTATATCCACCAAATATGTAACTACCGACTTGGACGATGGTTACAGTGGGACCCTTTCCATCACAGTTGCTGTGAAATGTTGATGCCTCCCAACCATCTGTCTTAGCGTGCCAACACCTCACAAACCTGCTGCGGCCTGTAGTCTGAAGCACTGGGTCTAAATATGAATTCAACTTGCCAAGATACTTGCTGCCATGGCTGTCAAGAATGCTGGATGAGCTGAGAGCTCCTAAAACGAAGGTGGTGCACATCGATGAGAAGGTCACACACTAGGTAGACTGAAATTTCCAGTCCTTGCGTTTAACCCTGTTTAATTCTTTCGCTCCTTTTACAAGTCCTTCACGAGCAAATTCATATATAAATCTACGATAGTTGATACTAGAAAACTTGTTTATGCAACCCCATCAAACTACGAAAAAAGGAAAATATTGTCTACGCGAAAAAATGTCGACGCTGGGCTCAACATTTTGTGACCGACTGAACAACAATCTAAAGTCACGCGTTCGAGACAAAGAAAATGCATTATAATTATTAAAAATCGCGGGAAAAGACACGACATGGTGGTATACATCTTACAAAATCCAGGGCTTACAGCGGTTTACATCCGAAATCTTATGTTGGAAAATGGTTAGGGCATGCCGTGTGATTTGCGCCTGTTTTTACACGTTAAATCATATTGTTTATGCTCGGCGAAAAGAGAGTACATACAAGATTGCATCATTTTAACGACAGGCCCCTTAACTTTGCCAAAAGGACTGCGCCTTTTTGGAATAATTTGTCTCGTTTATAATTTATAGTTGAAGACCAGCGCACATTTAGCTGCATTAAAATACACAAAACGCAAAGGGCAGTTTGGGAAATGTCAAATAAGTTATCAACCTCCCTGGGTCTTTTCGCCAGGAGAAACAGAAAAGTGTAACTTACAGTAAAGGTTACTGAGTATCAGATATTGTGCTGTATAAGCTGAAGGGACAAGTTAATATGTAACGGTTAGTCGGGTCCAATTTTGGAAAGGAAGCATATTCTAAACACAAAAATCGGTTCTTCTTTTTTTTACCAATTGGGCTGAATCGCGTATAGACGAGAAGATTGACCTAGAAACATTAACTGTAAAATGGACGCAGTCAATGGAAGAGTTTCTTCAATGACAACCAGCCTAATAGTTTATAACACATTAAATTTCATGGTTTATTTGTTTCTCAAAGAGGTGTGGAGGAGGTGGGGATTCAGCGATGCAGAGTTAAGGATCAGAATTCTTTTCCATATATGACTATTAGTACGATCTAACTTGATTTTGAAGTTTTTCTCTTTGTTTTAAAGTCAGTTAGTCAGTCAGTCTTTGCATAGCCTCAGAAGCTTATCATGAGTTAAAACTATATAAGTGGACGCTTCGCTTTTAGCCCTCCCTGGCTAAATCTATAGTAAGAAAAACGGTTACAACTTTTCTTTCGGAGGCAACGTATACGATCAAAACTAAAAAAGAAGAAAGAAACAAAAAAAGGTTTGGGAGTTATATGGATCGCCTCTCTAGCTGTAGTCGACGCTATTTCAGGAATTGCTGAGAGAAGCTTAAAAATAAGATTAATAGGAAGTATAAGCAACGGCGAGGGCGACGGCAACGAAAACGACTAAAACCAAAAATTGCTTGAGTCTAATCATAGACAGAATTTACCACATGAACATCGATCAGGAGCTGAAACAATGCATGTACTGTTCTCTGTCCTAACACTGAAGTCAGGGATAGTTATGACGCGTTATATACGTAATGGAGAGGTTTATACCTTTTTGAACTTCGGTGTAAGTCACGGCTTCTGTCTTTAACACTCTTGCATATGGTGCAATACATTTGTAAATCCCTCTATCGTTCATTGTTATGTCTCTTATAACTAAAGTTCCATTTATCAGCTGGTGGCTTCGTCCAGCAGGTAGTTGGCCATCTTGTTTCTTCCAGCTGATGACAGGTTGAGGATCACCATTAGCCTTGCAGTGTAAGATCAAAGTGCTGCCCACTCCTGGGAAAACTTTAGTAGGTGGTTTAACAATGAATCGAGGAGGAGAGACAACAACTAAGAGAGTTTTCTTTTCAACGCTTCCCAACAGGTTTGATGCTGAACAGAAGTAGAGGTCAGAGTCATCTTTACGAACATAGAGTATTTGTAATACACTGTTGTAGTACTTCACCCTTCCCTGGGGTAATGGACCGGATGACTTTCTCCAAGTGACCTCGGGTGCAGGATACCCTGTCACGTGACAGGATGGGAGAGTATAACTACTTCCTTCAATAGCGTGATGAGGTCCCGGATGAAGGGAAACTCGAGGGTAAACTACAACAAAAGAAAATTCTTTTGAATGACTAACTTTGCTTTGATTACAAATGGCTAGCTTTACTTTGACATGAAAAGTCCAGAAGTATAACAATGTTGCGAAAAAAAAGTAAAGCAACCATATTTTACGTCGATAACTCGCAACAGTAATAACTGAGAAACCCACATTAATCCTCCGTTTTAAGAGTATTTAAAGCTAGTTAAAACTACACAGAAAAGGTGCTTTGACTACGTTGCATTTTTTTTTCATTCTCCTTAATACGTTCTACGCGTGCTAGTTTTATTCTAATTCTACATTTCTCACTATAAAAGAAAATTACTGTTTTCAAAATGGTCTGGACTAAAGGAAAATCAATGATCTTTGGAAAATGAGTTCATCTTCTTCTTTTGAAAACGAGATGATGATAATGATGCCCAAAAAATTAACACATTATCATTTCGTTTTTACTAAAAATTGTTGTTTAAACTGAAATTGCTTATATCCTTTAGTTATTTTATTAGCGCGGCGCCCCATAGCTAAGGAAATGTGGTAATTTACCCATCCGAGAAAATTTGGTACTCACGTGACCGTACACCGAGCGAGCGAGCGAGCGACCGCTCGTCCGCACCACAGGCATACCAATGTAAAATAACTCAATCAACAGGTATGGCAACCCAAATGCAACTCAAGGTTTTATTTGGAAGGAAATCACATGGCCGCCCGGACTTTTAGAAAGAAAAAACAACAACAAAGTCGTTATTTTTTATGTTTACACTAACGTGGATAACAGAGAAAGAGCTAGAGCGAGTTATTGAAAATAAAGGAGACGAATTTCGTAGGGAGAAAAACATGGAAATTCAAAGCGGCGGTGAGAAAATGAGAAATGCTAGCGGCCAGCACCGTGAAAATGAGCGGCGGTGAAAAATAAAAGCCAACATGAACATAGGAAACAAAATATTGGGTAAACACATACGACAATTCCTCCATAAAAATAATGTGTAACAATGAAGTTTGACGTTTTAGTCGTGCAAAACAGCGTTGTAGTCGTCAAAACAACGGCAAGGGAAAGACAAAAAAGCGTGCTGCAGGTGCAAATTTGCTTTGCTAATTAGAAGGAAAAGTGTGCTGCACGTGCAATTTGTTTTTTTGCTAATTAGATCTATTAGTCTTGAAGCCATTTTCATTGTCGTCTCCGTTTAGCATTACACGATTTAATTTTTTTGTTTATAAGTATTATTAACCAGAGCTTCGCTTTTAGCCCTGGCTAAATCTATATATCATTTTGTTTCCACGTACGAACGCCCGACAAAAATGTACCGTTAACTTAAAACTGTAATCAAGAATTTCAGTTGGCATCGAAGATCGTTCGCAATTAAAAATTCAAATGTTTCTGTCTTTTTTAGCGCTTGCACCTAAAAATAATTGGACATCAGTTACTAGTCAATACATGTGTTGTTTTAAAATCCAAGTTGCCGTTCTTAAAGGGGCTGTCGCCCCTGGCGCATGCGTGAGCCAATGAAAACATGAAAACAAGACTCATTCCAGCAGAGACCTTCCACTGCTACCCTTTTCAAACATTGCATTTATAATTGAACTGGTTGGGAAATGTATTATTAATATATCGTACATTGTGTCTGGGGGCTTAGGTATTAAGCTTTCACGTACAGTGTAGGTCTCGCATGCCTCCAAAAAAATTAAAATGTTCTGGTGACCCACATTATTTTAATGTCTGTTTTGCAATCCAGCCTATTAATGCTCTGTGTGCAGTTGCAAGCTAAAGAATTAGATGACAGAAAATATAATGTTTGGAAACTGACTTACTGACATTCTCAAAAATGTTAAATTACAGTTATTTTACCTTTGCCATAGCAAATTATTTTATGTGTTTTGATTGAATTCTTTTAGTGACTAGATCATGTAGCAAGAGGCTTTTGCAGGAGCCATTTAAAGTACCTTATCCAGTAACGTTAACTGCATCAGCACCTTTTGAACTAGAAGAGGTACTTACATTTACCTGTACAGTACGTGTGACTGTCAAAGTTCTGTTTATAGTGACTATGTAATGTAAAAATTCTAGTGCCAGAATCTATTTCAATCAGTGATGTTAATATAGGATTACACTTTGGCCTGCATGTTAGATTCTGGGAAACTGCCCACCCACCTACCCCTCCCCTGACCCAACATTTTGACCTAAGAATGCAGTTAGTGTTTACCTTGGGTTAGGGGAGGGGTAGGTGGAAAGTTTCCCAGTTTCCCAGAATGTTACAATGTTAAAAAATCTATTGCTGCTTTGTTCATGATGTCCTTATTTAACCCATTCGCCCCTGAACCGCCCGTAACCGCCTGTGCGTATCCAGGACCTTTCTACCCTTTGTGACGTCATCAGTTTTAACGGTCAAGGACAACTTTCTGCGCTAACTTGTACAGAGTGAAGAGATCTTTCAAACCATACCAGAATGAGCACAATTCAGTCAAGGACACCGGAGAAAGAAGCAAAAAACCACGTGACAAGGACCTGAAAATCTCCATGAAAATCTTGTTCCATTGCTCACCTACCTTTCCTTTCACCTAATCCTAAGATCCTAAGAGCTTTCCTAAAAACTCTTCCCACCAAAATGAAGCCTACTAAATGCACAGCAAGAGAAAAAAGAAGGGAGGAGAGAAAGCGAAAAGTAAAAGTCAAGACTGCTGCTTTCTGCGCATGCCCGAACTTTGCAAGCTGATATTTTGCATCTTGATCAGAAGGCCGCCAAGTGTACGACCTATAAACCAGTTTGTGGTAAGTTTTAGCTCTTTATAGCACGACAGTGACCATAAAACCACTCAACTAGTTTCAAAACGCGTTTTTCGGCAAAATCTCCATGAGCGAAAGAGTTAAGTGTTATTGTCAGAAAAAACCGGGCAATAGCAAAAGATCGAGGTCGGCCGTTTACCTTCATGTTTTCACAGTATGAAAGCTATCTGAAAAGATTAACAACCATGGCATTTGGAGAAGTAGCCGTTTGATTTTCTTCGAGATATCACTATTTCGAGATTTTGGGACCTCCGGCGACCTAAAAAAGCACAAATTTTGGCTAACTTTGGGTGAAGTTAAAACATACTTGGCCAAACTCCCAATAGTTCTTATATTTTTTCCATAACACCTATCGCTTCGTTAGTCGACTGGAATATGTTAAACTTCCTTTGCTTAAATACTCTATTTTTTACCTGGTGCTAAAAATCACTCCTGAATCGTTAATGAGCGTCACCCAAATTTCAGTCATTTTCAGTTGACTGTTTTACCGAGATGCGGCAGTTTATTTCAAAAGTAAAATCATTTCTAGATGGCTTATTGTGCTGTTATCAAAATACAGTTTGTTTAAAATTGGTATCTAGCAGCAAATTGGAGAAAATGGCATGCGAAAGTACAATAATAAGCGTCGAGTATTAATATTTCCCGCCAAATTTTATAGCGCCACGTTTCGTTTTACTGTGATTGTGGTTCGTAAATGTCTTAAAATAGATTTTTACGACTTCAGAAGAAATAATTGAAAACTTTTATATCCCTAATTACAAGGAAAAACATTATAAATCACCGTATTGATAATAATCTTTTTAATGAGCAAGCGAAATCGTCAAAAAACGAAGCCCATTTTTCCCGCGAAAGTTTTAATTTATTTGTCACGCAGTACAATAAAGCCGGACTGTATTCTCAGTTCTGAGCTTTTGACGTTGGCCAGAAAACAAACTTCAATCAAATGATACCAAGAAAATTCAGAATTATCCTAATTAAATTACTTCATAGAGACACCCTGTTTCCATCGAACGCTAGAGTTGTCACGAATTTAATGATCGGACGTCACGACAGGTTGAAAACAGATCAAAACATGAATTGTTCATTTAGATCGGAGGAATCGCCATGTGGCTTGCGTGGAGTTGGTACGGTTATTCTGCCGTTACTTGCCTGCAAAAGAGATATTACCTTTCATCTTCTTAGTCTGAAAATCGGCGTAAAACGTGGCAGAGGAAGCACCGAGGTCAGCGAAACAGAGTTAATTTTAAACCGTGCAGGTCTTTTGGGTGCTGTTAGCAATGACGAAATGCAGACCATGACAATCTGTCCCAAGCATAGGCTGGATGTTACGACTAACTGGCCGGGTCGTAAAGTCGAAATATGTTGTTATCCAGACCATGAAGGTACCAAGAGAGGACTTAAACTCCCTAGACGTGTAAACGCTGATATGTCAGCGGAAGTCTTTGTTTTATTCAATGCTGTGGTTCCTATTGGCTCAGGTTAGTGTAATGCATTCATTTTTACAGATTTTCTTTTTTAGCTTAAAGTAGTTCCCACGATCTGCAGCAAAAGGGTGGAACACGAACGCCCGTAAGCAAGTATTTGCGACAGATTGCAGTTTCCCATGACTGATGCTTTACTCAGAAAGGGTGGTTTCATTGTGTCCAAACCGCGTGTACCGAGTGATAGAGACACCTTATTGCCATCAAGCCAATGGGGAAAATCATACTTAAGCCCCGCTAAAATATTTTTTCTTACCTTGAACTCTAATTTTACTGACAACATAAACTTTACGTGCAAAGCTAATTGAAAGTACAAACAAACGTTTTGCTTCTAAGTTGTCGCAACACCTGTTGTAGTAATCTGTGCCAGAAGAGCCTTTTCATGACAACCAAAACGTAAACTAAATTAGTATTGACAGTTTCTTTTTCTTTTGCAACTGTTTTTGATGAAAATCCGAGGGTTCGTAAAAACGAAAGTGAACGTACGCAAAGGGCAAACATAATTAGATTACAGTTTCTCCACAGCTGACACTCTTTTTATTTATTCACAAATGAGGCATAACAGAAAAAAGGATATGAAAAAAAAAAAAATACAGCAAGTTGTTCAACAGGATAAAAAAGTATTAACCCAGGATAAATTAGTATTGCAGGTTTACAGAAATTAGCAAAAGGTTTATTTGTTATATACTGAAATATGGCCTTAGAAATGGTAATAAATAACAATTATTCACCGAAGTGGAGGTGGTTAGTCCTGGATATTTACCGAACTGCGAAGCAGTGAGGTAAATATCCACGACTAGCCACCGACACTGAGGTGAATAATTGTTTTAGTATATACTAAAACAGTGAGATAATTGAGCACAAAAATGACAATTTTTAACTCAAATACTGTTGCCAACGATTACAATTTTGGCGCGTAATGACCGGGCGGCCGCGGCCGTCGCTTTTTCTTGCCGACAACTAAAACTTTTGAAGGCATTTGTTTAGCTCTTGCGGGGAAATTTCTTCAAAAGGAGTTGTGAATTCTTTTTGTATTTAAAATCATTCTATAAAAAAAGATTATTAAATTTAGTTTTAAGCTTATTTATGAACAACTCAACTGAATAAAGTAAGCAAGACTTAAGCTTAATTTGCATTTGTAAACAAAAAACTTTTTCACCGGTTTTATCGATAAATTCGTGTCAAAAAGACAAAGCTTTACCTGTTAAAACTTCCAATCCGAACTTCGTCACCTTCTTCGTGTATTTCGGAAACAGCTTGCTTGATTAGTTGTGAAATTTCTTTGTTTGTTTACGGCAGCAAACCGGGAAGGCATTTTGCTTGCAACTTACGCGAGTTTGGCGTCGTTCGTTCGGAGGAACTGGAGGTGAATCAGTGAATAGTGCAGGATATTCACTGATTGAGTAGCCAATCAGAGGGCGCGAAAAACACTATCCACTGTTTTAGTATATACTAAAATCAATTACCGTGAAGTAAACGCAAAAAAGTTACAACAGAGAAATAGTCTAGTCGGAAGGCAGGGTTCCCATGCACCCCTAGGATATATTTTTCTAACTTACATTTTTGTAATCCTCAAGATCTCTTGAAAAAGAAATTCTATGTTCCCATCGCGAAATATTGTCCCAAGGCCTTTTTTTCGTGCTCTTTGTGGCGGCCATCTTGGCAGCCATCTTGGTTTTCTAATGAAACTTAATTGCGGACAATTAGTTTATCAAAAGAGGCAAATAACTTTTATTTGCGTATACTTTTACTATAACGAATACCTTTAAAGTATATACGTCCTTTTTTTGACAAATTAAATAAATTTGAAGTAAACAGTGAAGACAAATAAAGTATGATTTACGCTCAGAATAAAGAATAAAACTTAACATTATATTCAACTCAGTTTTTTATGATTACCTCTATTAATTTTTCCATTTTAAAAAAGGGCAACCACAGATTAAAAAGAATCTTATAAAGTCCAAAATTGGATCAAAGCGAAAATACTATTAAATAAGTCACCCTATTGCCTTCTTAAATCAGACGATGCTTCTAGTACTACAATCCTAATGTGAAACAGGCCAAGCAGCACATGAACTATTAACTGGGCCACTGTTTAATTTACAACCTCATTTGAAATGGTTATCAAATATGCAGGGCATTTTTACGTATCGCTACTTCTTCTTTTCACTTTAACTTTTATTCTACACGCCTGTATATAAAAACGAAAAAAATATATGTGAAAATTTGGATAGTTTGTACTTAAACTGCGATTTCATTTTGATACTAATTAAAAATGCGTTAAGTCATATTTTCATATTATTTTAAGAAAGATTTGAACTATGTTTTTCGTGACAGGCGAGTTATGGAACCTCATGCTTCACCGAATCGCATGGAAGATGTTTGTTTGCAGATTCCAGAGAATCTCGAGGGTGCAAATTTAGAAGCAATCTGCTATCACCTGTTACCAAAGGTTTACTAAAAACCAGGATAAGTTGAAGTCCAGTGTGACACCTAATAGTGAAGCCACAACAACAACACGTTCCCCTCGTAAATCATCATCCTCATCTGCTCCGCAGCTGTTTCCTCCAAATGCATTTTCTGTGAAAAGCTTGAACTGAAATCGTGTGGAAAAACAGAGCAATGCATCAAGTTCCCAGTGTTCAAGGACAAAGACGGAGCTCTAAAGGAGCCTACTGGGAAACAGATTGAGCCTCGAGCCCTCGAGCTTGGCAATAGTCATCTTCATCGCAAAGTACAAGGGGAAGATTTGTTTGCACAAGAGGCCGAGTTTCACCCGTCCTGTCGCAGTTTATTTAACTTGAAGTATTTAAATCATCTGCGTGATACAGCCCGAGCCCCAAAAGACGTGACAAAACCAAAACAGATCAGGGTCAGAAGGCATCTGCACATCTGAAGGCATTCACTGCCGTGCTTGATTTTATTTAAGATTCCCTTATTGAGCAGAGAAAAGTTCTGTTGCTTTCTTCTCTACGTCTTCTCTACGTCCAAGAGTTGGAGAAAAATGAGTCCATATGAAGTAACTTAATCAGGATAAGTCTTCATTTTGATGGCATTGTTTGATTTAAGTTTGTTTTCTGGCGACCGTCTGAAAACTGAGAATAAAGTCTGGCTTTACTCTATTGCGTGACAAATAAATTAAAACTTTCGCGGGAAAAATGGGCTTCGTGCTTTTGACATTTTTAGTTGTTTATTCAGGAGATTGTTATCAAAACGGAGATTTACAATGTTTATCCTTGTCATTAGTGATATAAAAGTTTTCAATTATCTTTTCAGTGAAGTCATGAAAGTATACTTTAAGATATCTAAGAGCCACAATCACAGTAAAACGAAACGTGGCGCTATAAAATTTGGCGGGAAATATTAATACTTGACGCTTATTATTGTACCTTCGCATGCCATTTTCTCCAATTTGCTGCTAGATACCAATTTTAAACAAACTGGATTTTGATAACAGCACAATAAGCCATCTAGAAATGATTTTACTTTTGAAATAAACTGCCGCATCTCGGTAAAACAGTCAACTGAAAATGACTGAAATTTGGGTGACGCTCATTAACGATTCAGGAGCGATTTTTAGCACCAGGTAAAAAATAGAGTATTTAAGCAAAGGAAGTTTAACATATTCCAGTCGACTAACGAAGCAATAGGTGTTATGGATAAAATACAAGAACTTTTGGGAGTTTGACCGAGTATGTTTTAACTTCACCCAAATTTGGCCAAAATTTGTGCTTTTTTAGGTCGCCGGAGGTCCCAAAATCTCGAAATAGTGATATCTCGAAGAAAATCAAACGGCTACTTCTCCAAATGTCACGGTTGTTCATCTTTTCAGATAGCTTTCATACTGTGAAAACATGAAGGTAAACGGCCGACCTCGATCTTTTGCTATTGCCCGGTTTTTTCTGACAATAACACTTAAAGAATTATCAATTTTTTCTGAGTTTTTGCTTTGAAGAGCTATAAGGACAGCTAAATACCAAAATTTATTTTTAAAACTTTTACAAATTTTAACTTTGAAAAGGCTCTTTTTTTCTGAGACATGTACAGTAAGCTTGAATTTCTTTTCTTTAATTCCACGATGTGACATTTAAATGACTACCAAGGAAGCTGAACAGAAGGTTAAAAAGTGAAGTGTCTTTTGAGTTTTTACTATCTGAACAGACTTTGTCTAAGAATTACATGTAGAAGTATTACTGTAACAGTTTACTTAACCCTAATCAGTAAGGTTTTGATAGTTGATATAAATTTTTTGTGAATCATGAATGGTACTCTTATTACAGTCTGTTCGTTTGCATAATGTGGAATCTCTTTTGGGTGGTACAGTATATTGTGAGTTTGTTCTTGCAGATTACTGTTGTGGAAGAAGGTGACTTGATAGCCAAAAGAACTCGCTCTCAGTTGCCTCTCCAAGATGTTTCTATTGAAAGTATTGAAGGTACATATTGTTAACACAACCAAGAACAGAAAGTATTCATCAACTGTTGTTAGTGAATTACAGCAATGTAATTAAATTTGGATTGCCCCACCCCTCTCTTACATGTACACCACAAACAGTATTTGAAGCATGTTTCAGCATTGTATAAGGCAGAGGGGAGAGAGAACTGCGAGGTATTTTCCAGAAGGTAGCACTGTTTTATGAAAGCACACAAAAATTACTGTCCCATGGACTTTTGTCCAGGATTGTAGTAATAGTAAAAATATATGGCAAAGCACCTCAATATTATAATGAAACCTCATTATTGCAAACATATTTAGCCATTCCCTTGGCTCTTTGTTTTGATTAGTTTCCACTGAACAGTCTGTTGGGTTGAGCTTTGGATTTTGGACTTGTCTTCAGTTTAATATTAGGCATTAGTTGACATACACAACAGGACGGCAAAAGGAAGAGCATGGCAAAATGTGTTTGTGTTTTGTTGTGATCTTTACTTATAACTGTGTTGAGGCCCCAGTTGTTGAAGAGCTGGATTAAGCACTATCCACCAGGGCCCAGTTGTTTGAAAGGTGGATAATGCTATCCATTGGATAAATCTCTATTCAGTGGATAACGCAATTGATTTCCCCAATACCTATCTGCTGGAGAGCGATTTATCCTGTGGATAGTGCTATCCAATGTTTGAACAATCAGGGCCAGATTAATATCCAGGGGATAAGTATAAGGAATACTAACTTAGTTTGTTATTGAGTGGATAGAGATTTAACTGGTGGATAGCGATTGTCCTTTTGAAAAACTGGGGCCTTGTCTTTTATTGAGAATTCATCTGTTTAAAGGAAGGTATGGTTTGGCGGAAAATTTTTTGCAAAAATACTTAATCACGACACGCTTGTCACACAAGGTTTGCAATTGCCTTTCCTCTCCCTTCCTATTGTGTAAGTCTACTACTCTTAAGGAGTTGAAGGAGTAATTCTGACCAACACCTTCTGTTTTATTCAGCCACATTCCAGCCTCCAGATTTCACTGCTGATATGTATGATAGTATCCCAGTGGATGATATGGACTTTGAAGACATTGAATGGCAGAAGTGGCTTCAGGGACTAGTCAACTCAGGTATATACCATGTACATGTAGGAGAATCATTGATGATGTGCAAGTTCAGTATGTTAAATGCATTTATTTTTTAAAGACAAAGTTGGGTTTTTGCCAAAAAATGAAGAAGGCTAATGTCCAGCCTTCTTGGCCAAACAATTCTTCCAGTTGTCAATTTATACAATGTAAAAGAATCACTTGTATGGCCAAACAAAAAGTTTGTAACAATGTTTGTCTATTACACTGTATGTCTATTACTGTAAGCAATGTTTGTCTATCACACTGTAAATAAAAAGTCTGATGCAAAAATTCGGTTACTTTGAAGCACTTTCAAAAATGACCAAATAACCGAGGTGTCATTCTTGCACTGAGCCCTTCAGTTTCTCTCATTGGTTAACCAGACTCACTTGATATTGCCTGCTTTTGGAGAATGCCAACGACCATCTACGTGTGGAAAGACTTAACAGTTGATCATATAATAACTAAGTTTGTATGCCCCTGTGCTTTACGTTTGACAGAGTTTTTGACTTTTTCATTGCTTGCTAATGCTCATCACCATTAGAGTTGATCTCTATTATATTAGAACTGTGTGCTAATATTTTTTTATTATTAATCAAAAAACCTAAAAATGGCCTTTTACCAACTTTTTCACCTGATTTTACATGAAATAGACAGATTTGGTTGTTTTATGCTGAAAAGTGGATTTTTTTCTAAAAGCTTGGTACTCTGCTTAACCCATTCGCTCCTGGAGATTTTGCCGAAAAACGCGTTTTGAAGCTAGTCGAGTGGTTTTCTGGTCACTGTCGTGCTATAAAGAGCTAAAACTTACCACAAACCGGTTTACAGGTCGTACACTTGGCGGCCTTCTGATCCAGATGCAAAATATCAGCTTGCGAAGTTCGGGCATGCGCAGAAAGCAAAATTTCGACATGTTTTTGGGTTTAAAAGTGACACAGCAGTCTTGACTTTTACTTTTCGCTTTCTCTCCTCCCTTCTTTTTTCGCTTTTCTTGCCTCATTTTTTTTTTCTCTTGCTGGGCATTTAGTAGGCTTCATTTTGGTGGGAAGAGTTTTTAGGAAAGCTTTTAGGATCTTAGGATTAGGTGAAAGGAAAGGTAGGTGGGTAATGGAACAAGATTTTCATGGAGATTTTCAGGTCCTTGTCACGTGGTTTTTTGCTTGTTTCTCCGGTGCCCTTGACTGAATTGTGCTCATTCTGGTATGGTTTGAAAGATCTCTTCACTCTGCACACGTGTGCGAAGAAAGTTGTCCTTGACCGTTACAACTGATGACGTCACAAAGGGTAGAAAGGACCTGGATCCGCACGGGCCGTTACGGGCGGTTCAGGGGCGAATGGGTTAAGATCTCAATGCTGGCATACAGTATTTTTCTCTTTTTGATTATTGAACAGCTGTGACTACATGTATTTTTTTTTTGCACTTGTAGACATACACAAAGTAGTGTATGGTTTAGCACATTTAATCCAGTTATTTTTATTTTTGTTTTACATGTAGATGAAGTCTGTGGTGAAGATGATCAGGAGGATACTGAATACAATTTCATGGCTGAAGACCAAAAAGAAGAAAAGGAAGAATACAGGAATGACAGAGCTGTTAGAATTCCACGTGAGTAACTAATTTGTGACTGTCAAAGATTCAGAACTCTAGTTTAGTTAATTGCTGAAGTTTAGTGATGTTATATAAAATCACACAATTTTTTTTGTCCTCGATTACTGCCAGTAGGCTATTTCTTCATCAGTCATGATATTGTTAATGGAGCATTTGTTTACAAAATGGCTTGCTGCCATTTTCTTGCATAAGACTGGTACACTGTGCGTACCAGCCCAAGAGTCATTTGAACTAGCCTGAAAAAATTTTGATGAGCAGAATTGATCGCAGTTTTTCTGTAATTAAAATTCCCCCCAAACACTTCACTTGAACATCATGCAAGTTTAGAATAGAATTCAGTAGCCCAATAACAAAATCTACTAGCCCCAGGCTATCGGACATGACTTTCTTTGGAATCTTTTTCAGTCCCTACATTTGTGTCAGTCTATAAAATGTACACCTTTGTAAAACAGACATTTGGTTCTGTACTATTGGTGTCCATGATAATATTAAAGAGGTCGGATGATATTTGAGTTGCTATTTGTTTCCTTGTAGAGAAGGAAGTTAATGAACTGTTTGAGGAATTACTGAAAGATGTAAGTATTACCGGTACATGTTGTATTTGTATAAACTATGAGAACAATTATTTGTCATTTTTATGAAGGATTTAAAAACGATGTTACTGTTTTTCACGCACTGTGCAATACTGAATTATTTCATAATCCTTACTGAATTGTGATTACACAGTTTGATGACAACGAGGATGGCTATTGTGTGACTGATGAAGGAGAACCAGTAGGGTATCTGGAGATGCTAAGTAGCGGGTTGGTGTATTCTTTTGCTTCCAGTCTTACTACAATTCTCAGTTTACATTTGTGCTGGGAATCATGTTTCAATTTTTGTCTACAGTTTTACAGTGGTATTTTTTCATTTTGTTATTTTTCCCATTCTGTTTTAATACAATTTATGTATAAACAATGCATAAAGTATTACAAAACATTAAACAGAGACACATCGAAGATGTACTGTTTCACTGTTCTGTCAAGCTATCAAGTCAATAAAAAAAAAATTAATGAAGTAAAATGTTTAACCCATTCGCCCCTGAACCGCCCGTAACCGCCCGTGCGGATCCAGGTCCTTTCTACCCTTTGTGACGTCATCAGTTTTAACGGTCAAGGACAACTTTTTTCGCTAACTTGTGCAGGGTGAAGAGATCTTTCAAACCATACCAGAATGAGCACAATTCAGTCAAGGACACCGGAGAAAGAAGCAAAAAACCACGTGACAAGGACCTGAAAATCTCCATGAAAATCTTGTTCCATTGCTCACCTACCTTTCCTTTCACCTAATCCTAAGATCCTAAAAGCTTTCCTAAAAACTCTTCCCACCAAAATGAAGCCTACTAAATGCCCAGCAAGAGAAAAAAAAAAAATGAGGCAAGAAAAGCGAAAAAAGAAGGGAGGAGAGAAAGCGGAAAGTAAAAGTCAAGACTGCTGTGTCACTTTTAAATAAATATCACGCTTAGTGGAGTAATAACTCTCGCATCGTTCCATAATCCTGCCTTTCCTGCGGGAAGCTTTAGCAACGACGACGGCGACAGCAGCGAAATCGTCATTGAAAAGGACTTCGCGTTCACGTGATAGTCCTACATTGACTGCAAAGAAATGTAAACCTGTTTTCAAGCTTTTCAACGTTCTCGTTGCCACCGCCGTCCCAAAAGTTCTCCAATTAATACGATTTGAGCAACGTACGTCAACCGAAGTGGATTTCTTGCATTCTTTGACAGTGGTTTTGCCCAAATTTTCGGGAAAATCGTTTATGTAAGAAGCCTGAATTCGAGTCGCATACTCCCGAAAGTATGGGACTTGAAGGGATGTCCGGAAGAGCTCACTTTCGTTAACGGCGTCGCTTCGGCTTAGCCTTTGCTTAGGCTCTCTTATAACTACACGAACATTGATGATACTCCCACTCGTACACAAGCTCCAATTTGAAGTCAAATCTAAAGGTCCTTATTTTGTTCGGTTCCACTCTTCTGCGGTACTTCAGTTTGAGATACCCTTAGAACAAACTGGAACTAGCTAGTGCACCATCGTTAGCAGTGAAACATTTATTAATTCAAGGACATTTTAACGCGTGGTATATGGTACATTAATAAGCGATGTAATTTTATGTCTTTATACATACACATATGAGTATAACCAAAATGTTATTAAGAAAAAACAAATACGCTGGCGCTAAGAATAACCTAAGAATTTAGATGACAGTCTCAAACATGAGGTAAAATCAGTAATACACAGTCAGTTGTAACAGCCTGGGACAGCCAGAATAAAACTGACACTTTTGAGGTGTAGGTTTATCTCTTTTGAGACCAAACCTATCATTTGTGCTCTCTGTAACAGAAAATCACTTAATCAAGATTGTTAGCCTCAGGTTTGAATATTTTCCTTACATGTCACAAGCAATTTGCCAGTGGAATTAAAAAATAGACAAAAAACAAACGCTGCAACAAGAGGTTCCGATAATAGTTTCTATTAATCTACACAATTGTTTGTTGTTGTTGTTTTTAAACTCTTGAAGAAGCGTCTCCAGCATATCTCTCTTCTTCTTCGTTAAATCCTTCAGTTCCATCCGCTGGAACATCTTCTTCTGGGGCCATTGCGTATTCAGCCTTTTTATTCCCTTCTACCACGTGTTCATCTACGTAAACCGCCCGGATGTTAGAACCCGGAGCATCGAACATGGGTTCAAGCAGTAAGTTTTCCTAAAAATAAGCAGCCATAATGTCAAAAGAGAGAAAAGAGAGTCAAGGCTCAAATACAATAACACAGCGTATGGGCCAGACAAGAAACAGCGAAAGTTTGCTCTGTTTCCTGCACATCTGTAACATGGGAGAGAAAACGACGTCACAAAAGAACGGTGGTGAGAACGTTCACTGAAGTCACGAACGTGAGGCAAAGACTGAAAGACAATTCTAGCGTCCTCTGCGGAAATTGTACCTGTAGCCTCCCAAACACCGGACTGGCAACCAGTAATCGAAAGTTCAAAGGCTAGATTCCTGTTGGAATCTCCGAAAGTTTTATCCAGGAGGCTTACGAAAATCCCAGGCGGGTACTCTCTTATACAAGCCAAATAGGCATATGCCGCCCCAACGGGTAGGGTTTCGGGGCCTTTTTGGTATACACTTTGCCCATTTTGGTCTGGAATCGAGTATGGTTTTCAACGGAACTACGGGAGTGTATGAAAGTATTTATCGCTTCAGTTCCAAATGAGTAAGAAAGAAAGAGACATATGCCAATTCAAGATGGATTTTTGAAAATGTTTTTGTTTACGCTCTAATCTAAGTAAGGATGGCAGAATTTCTGCGTTAAGGCCAGGTCTGAAAACGGGTGTGGAAAATGACATTAACCCTAACCCTACCAAGAGTTTTCAGGAGTTCCCCCCCCCAACCTTCCGGGCATAAAATCATTTTATCTCTTTCTTTTATCTTGTTCAGGTTTAACTCTTACAATGTCCAGGAAATTTTTACAAACGAACAAAGAATTATCCTGTCCTGTAGTTCTCACAAATATCTTGTTGCCCAACAGGGGAGGTTCTGACCTAGTAATTATAAGGTTCTTAGTTGAAGTTCCGTTAAAGAGCTTCGGTTTCTCTTTCATCCTAGTGAATTCACTGTCGTCGGCATGACAATTGACTACAAACCATCGACGACGTTCAGGTAGCTCGAACACTTAGCGGCACAATATGAATAGAAGGGGTGGGGGAGGAAAAGCTGTATTTTCTTGTATTTTAAGTTGACAAAAGGTCGGAGAGGCCATTTAAGGGAAAGCGTGTCAACTAATTTTGCTGCCGACTGTAGATGCGGAAGGTTTGGAACATTAACACGAACATTTGCCACTTTTATTAAACAAAAAGTTAAATTATTTTTTGTACTGATAACTATTGGTCGTTTTTGTGCGTACCAGTATCGCTCTCAAGCCGCGAGCACCAGTCTTCTTTTCCAAAGCTTTTTTGGCAATCAACTTTAAGGCATCAGGACTGAGATTCAGCTCAACCTAACAAACAAAGACAAAAAAACATTTGATTATAGAGTCCATATATAATAATTGTGATCACATGATAATATCTTTATGATGCAAAATTTACGAGAGAATGAAACAAACGAAATGTACTTTTGTCATACGAGAAGTACAGAAGTACAGTCATCATCATCATCATCACCATCATTATTACATAAGATTAGAAAAGGTGTTGCTAGTAGGTGCGAGCACTGTTGCTTTTATAATGTTCTATGTTTATAGACAAAACCCTATTACGGACAGCAAAGGGACAGAGCCAAGTGCCTGCGTTACAGAGTTGTGTTCGTACATGTATTGTAGAGTTAGACATTGTACGAAGTTTGGCATTTCTTAAGGAGGAACTGTACGAAGTTTTGTGTCTCTATAGGACCCAGAAAACTGTCTATGATAGAGATATGTCCATACTATAGAGGCAGGGACAACTGTATGAAGTTTTGTATCTCTGGAACTCATAACACTGTCCACAACAGCTAGAGATGTGTACGTATTAAAAGAACTGTATGTGATTAAAATTAATTTGGGATCTATGAGGAAATTGGGCCGAGAGAACTTTTGCAAATACTCCTTCGATCGCTACTGGGGACGCGCCGGTGTGACAGTGATATGGGTATCCCCGCGTTTTGAGCATCCCCATTCCCAAAATCCTAGCGATATGGGCATCCCCTGGAACTCTAACCCTAACCCTAACCCTAACCCAAATCGCTAAGGTGATATGAGAAGGGGAGGCCCATATCACTAGGGTTTTGGGAATGGGGATGCCCATATCACTGTCACACCGGTCAGCTATTGGGCAATTTTTTTCCTTGTCACCAGTAACCGACCCAGAAGTCTTTGCGAAAGTTCAGTTCAGTTCAGTCGGCCCAGTTAAATGGCGAAACTGTATGAAGTTTGGAACCAGGTCGACATTTCGTCACGGAGAGGTTACCTATGGAGATCACTCACCTTGTCCATGCTGAACAGCGCTTGATATTGCGGCACCAAGGCATTTCGAGGCTCGGTAAGAATCTTAACCAGAGAACCTTCATCCAAGGAGTGCAAGCTTACCACCACCGGAAGACGACCCACGAACTCGGGTATCATCCCGAACTCGACAAGATCCCGCGCTTCTACCTGGCTAAGCAGCTTGTCCCGCTCGGCATTGTCTTCGCGAACGTCCGGCTGGGAGTTTTTGAAGATGTCTAGCTCTTTCTCTTTCGAGCCACGGTCACTTATTGGAGCCCCAAAACCAATCACCTGGATTGAAGAAAGACTAGTGAGTAAAGGACGACATGACGAAGAAAATACTGTAGAAAGACATTCCTCGAGTTTAATGAATTACAGTAAAAAACCGCATACAAGAACATGTGGATTAAGAACACCCAGGCTGAAATTTGGTAAAAAGGAGCATATATATAAGAACACGTTCAGCCTGAAAATTGAAAATTGTTCTTACATATAAAAACTCTTCCCTTTTCAGTTTAATAGAACAGTGTCTGTAGCTTTACTGTGGTATTGCACTAAGATCTATGTATAAATGCTAGTAATTTCACTTGCTGTGTATAGCAAATGTACAACAACTTACATTTTTTTAGAAGTAAAAAATTAAGAACACTTAAGAACACTTTCAGGCTCATTTCACCTAAAATACCCGATATATAAGAACCCAATCAGCCTGAACCCCGAAAATGGGTGTTCTTGTATGCGGGTTTTTACTGTATATTCGAAAGAGAAAAGGAGTCTTCATTTCTACATGTATCCGGTCCTTACCACTCTTCTAGGTCTTTTTGCTAAAAACGGAAGAATTCCAAAAGCATCAAAATACTCATGTAATTTACTAAGCTTGTACCAATCATAAATAAAGGAGTATGTTCGACCAATGCTGTTCGCGGGCTTTCCTTCCGTTAACAAGTTGGTGACGATTTCATTCACCTCTGCAAAATGTGCAGCGATACCTTTTGGAAATACGTGTCCAAGGATCTGTTCAGTCAACAACGCTTGTCCCATACAACCTGAGTCCAGTTTGTATTGGGAGTACATTGTACGTGACCGGGACGCAAAAGAAAATGGAGACATTTAGACTCACGTTTGCGTCAAACGGCAAAAGTGAATTTGTACCACGTGACCAAGTTTTTGCTTTACTTGTCTTAAACTGTTCTTTACTTCCACAAAAAATTATAAGTTTCAAATTACAGTAGAACCTCGATAACTCGAACTCGGACAACTCGAATTCCCCGCTAACTCGAACTAAATTTCCTTTCCCTTGATCAAAATTTCACTTAAATTTACCCCGATAACTGTAATTCCCCCGCTAACTCAAACTGTTTTTCGTTTCCCTTCAGAGTTCCGAGTTTCCATCCATAAGAACTGTTTTAAAAACTGTTTTTATCTGATTACTTTCTATTTTGAGAAACTCTTAACTTGAATCCGCCATTTGCTGTTTGCCGTACGTAACCGTGACTCTATACATGTGTATCTCTCTCATAGCAGCTACGTACAGTGTGGGGCTGGTCAACAAATTGCCACCTAAATAGTTGATGATAGACTCGCATTTTGCTGCGTATGAAGATTGTAACTTCAATGTTGCTTTAATGAATTTCTGTAACCGTACCTTCTCCTGATTTCTTCTCTTAATAATTTTGTCCAGTCCATTAAAGGCTCCAGATGCCACAAACAAGATGTTTTTAGTATCCACAGCCACACTTTCACCTCGCACCTTACGTGAATTTCGCTCCGGCACATTCACCACTGTACCTTCAAGAATCTTCAACAAACCCTGAGATAAGAAGATATTTCATCAGTCGTAATATCGTAATTTTCAAATCTACCCGTATTGAAGTAAGACATTAAAAGAGTTGAATTAAAAGTTGGGTGAAACGAGGCCAACCACAAGAAGAGAATCCAAGTAAAGCAAATGCATTGACCAAATGAAACAAGGAACTTCAAAATAATTTTCTTAAACCACCACAAGATCAACATAATTCATAAACACCTAATAGTAATGAAATTATAATTGAAGCACCATGTAAAACAACTGACGAGCAAGTCTCTCTTTAAACAATAGCTGTTTTATGTAATTTTATTTCGCTAAGAATAGGTATTTTTGACTAAACTAAGAACTCCACTGACTGCCTTTTTTTCGAAAGCTATGAGCTATACTAGGGGCACAGAGGGTCCAAACCTCCCGCCCCCTTTTTTTCCTGACTTCCTCCCTTACGCCCTTTTTCGATAATTATTATAAGAACAGTTGTTTAATTTCCTCCTTTTTCTCCCCCCTACCGAAATTTTTTTAAATCCCACCCCCTGTTCTTTCTTCTGATCTTATGCCTTCCGTACCCCTCCGCCCCTATCCTCCCGGGCCCCCCTACCCCTTTCCTGTCACCAATAATTGTATTAGGTAAGTGTGTGAGTGATAGACATCTTTCACAAAGCAGGCAGTATGTACTAAGACCTTGAACACCAGAACACACTGCAACACCCTGGTACACTCATGCTGCAAAACCTGACAACAGGTAAAATGAAAAAGACAAATAGAAACCCTACCCTTAATCTACAAAATATTTTTCCCGCATGTTGTTTCATTAATTTGACATGTTCTATATTGTTGCTGGATGTTTCGTGTTCCAAGTTTTGGCACAGGCAACCGGTATGGTTGATCTTGAAGGAGATTAGGGAAAAGCTTGGAGATTAGAGTTTGCTGAACATTTTACCTGCTGTACTCCCTCTCCGCCAACATCTCTTAAGTTATGCACTCCAGGAACACAACCTATCTTGTCAACTTCATCCAAGAATACAATCCCTGGCAAAGCAACACAACGTGAAGTCAGAATTATTTTCCATGAAGCCGACAGAGCTTTTCAGTATTTTACAGAATGTTTATAAAATAATAATCAGTTGGCGGGTAAAAATCAAAAGTTTACCTTGCTGTGCTCTTTCAACATTGTTTCCAGCTTCCTGTTAATTGTAGGTAGGAAAGCAAGATAACAAAAGAGTTGAAATTACAACTGAAAAGAAGTGACTTAATGTCATGAAAAGAAATTCCAACACTTTTTCAAGTAGTCTGTACACAGTTCCCCCACCCCTACCCATTTGCACTGGCGGTCAATAAATCTCCTGCGGTTTTTGTCTTTTTATCAGGCGCGCTAGACGAACTTTGAAGAGAAAATAGAGGGTGTGTGAACAAGCTATTTTTCAAAGTACACAGAAGTAATCCAAAACCAGAGAAAATGATCGTGTTTATTGGTTCTGTGACTAATTTTGACCCTGCCTTAGTGGAACTACAGGTATTATATAATTTTAAGACTTTACTTTTATAACAATTGCTTAAACCAACCTGTAGGAGCTTGGCAATCACAGATTCAATGTCTTCACCCACATATCCAGCTTGTGTCAAGGCAGTGCAATCACATATCGTAAATGGCACATCAAGACAGCGAGCTATCGTTTGTGCTAATAGTGTTTTACCTGAGGAAAAAAAAAACAGTTTTAGAAAGTGGTCGAAAAATGTGTATGTGAAAAAGAAAAAACCTGACTTTTTCACCCCTCAAAAATGGCTACTGCAATAACAAAATAATAATTGAAATGAAATTACAAGTTACCACACACAAGATCGAATTGCATTCTCAAGCTTTGAAGTAGCTACAGTAAACAAACAAATGACTGACATTAATTTGCAATGCAGTTTAGGTGAAGTGTTTGTCACATTTTATTCACTTCTCAAGCAGTCATAATATTGTTACACTCAGGTTTAAATCCTATGAAGGAGTCTAAAGATATTTAGCTAGTCGGGTTGACTACAGAAAAGGTACTACAGTCCTTTCTAATATACTACAGAGCTTAAAATTTGTCTTTTTTTCTCTTTTCATCACTAAAATGTTTTGTTCTTTACCTGAGCCAGTTGGTCCTAACAGAAGGATGTTACTCTTGTCCAGTTGAATCTTTTCTACATCTGAGTCTAGTATGTCACTCCCAGCTTGTTCACGTAATTGTGCAGGTGAGTGAACACCACTAGCTCCCAATGGAGAATTGAGATTGGATGTTTGTGTCATGAGCATCTGTAATTCTTTTAAAAAGGGAACAGCATTCACCAGTTTAAGTTAAGATTAATTAATACATGTACATGAACACCAAGCTAAGGCATTTTGTCTAAAACAAAACAAAACAAAATAAGCAACATGGAATATAACCAAAAGCCTTCAAAGTGATTCCATTTCCATTGAATAAAATGCCATGTTTACTTTTAACAAAATAGGATCAAAAGCGTTTTACGTTTTAATAATGAAAACAAATCATTGCATGTTATAAATTTGATCAGTTGACCTGGTAGAAAACTGAATTTCATGCATACAATATGCAAATCTCTTTGTTCTCGAAGGAAACAGTGGTCAAGAAGGACACTGCTGACCTGTTTAAACTTTTGCAAAACAAACAAAACACTACCAAACAGTTTGATTGAAGACATGGCACATTAAACAAGTAAACACATGTAACGTGCAAGTACGAAATAATGCTCATTGAAGCAGTGAGTACCTTGTGGTGATCCAGCATACTGTCTTTGTACAGGAACTGGTTTGACTTCAGCAGGTGTTGAGGCTTGCTGGGATTGTGGCAAGTTAACTGATAGTCTCTTGTAATGATTATAAACAGCTACTGACAACACCTTCTTGGCATGTGCTTGACCTATCACATACTTGTTTAGGTATTCATATATCTGCAGGAAAATATTTTATCATGTTCTAGTCATTTCAACGCTCCTATAATATTCAAACAACGACAACATCATCAGTACTTAATTCAAATCATTGATAATGACTGACTACATGGCAAGTCAGAGTTATGGGTGCCTGGTTCAGTTGGGGGTCATTGCTAGGAGATAGACAATTCCACCCAAGTCCTGAGTTGGCACCTTTGTTTACAGGAACACAAGAAAGGTCTAGCTGTCATGGAGAAGTCGGTATAAAAGGGCGGGATACTAAGGTGAATCATTCTATTAAAGCTGACATCGCTGCTGGCTTGATTTGATTTTTACCCTTTTCTCTTTTCATGTATTTTAAATCAATTGCAGCTTGTTCTCCATGTATTTGTTACAGGTCAAATTTGATTTCAGGTTAAATTGTTTTAACCTAGATTGATTCTCAATTTCCTTTGTCTCTTAGGGCTAGGAGACAAAGGAAATTGAGAATCAACCTAGGTTAAATCAAATTTAATCTGAAATCAAACTTGACCTGTAACGTCTTTATAGTTTGTTATTTTAGTTCAACCTCTCTCCCATAAGGTTCGTGTTAAGTGTCTGGCTCTGCTTTTAGGAGCCAGTTCAGGTTTCCTCCTCAGTTAAGGTTTTTTTTTTCTGACCGGCAGCAGGCATGATCATAACTTTACTAGATTACCAATCATAGATCTGTACTTCAGAGTCTGTTATAAGCATTTTTCTTGTTTGACTGCTTCTGCAGTATAAACACATTTATATCTTTCAGATCTATATACATGTAAATAAGCGGGGACTGATGCTTGCATTATGTTGGGCTTCTGCCCAGTGCAGCAGTCAGTTTTCCTATTTAAAAGAGAATGATTCTTTGTCGTTATTGTCTGCCATTTAAATGATGTGTTAAATGTGTTTTTGAAGGCCAAGGTTTCAGAGAGATTCATGGCTACTGAATAAACATGTATCACTAATGTGTTATAAATACATTATGCAGCAATATGCTACATGTACATGTACTCCCATACCTTTCTGGGAGGTGGTGGAGGACTTTGTAGTGCTTTGTTCTGTTTGTCTGCTTCACTGCCTGAGGCTTTATCATATTTAACATGAATGTACCGCTTAGCTGTATCTGATTCCGATAAGATTAAGAAAAAGTGATGACACTTATCACATTGCACAAAACGAGTGGTAGCTGAAAAATATAACAAAAAAAGACAAAATTAACAAAAAAGAATACAAAAACAAAATAAACAAAGGAATGTCTATTCATTTTTGTTCCTTCCAAACCCAGAGATAGGCATTCTCTTTCCTTTACTTTACAAATGCAAGACTAAATTTGAATATAAAGTTCTGGACAATGTTCTGCAATAATTCGAACAACGTTGGAGAAGAAGTAAAAAGAAGACCAAATTAGGCATTTAATATGACCCCCCTTCCTCCTCCACCCACATTATGACAAAGGTACTTTCAATTATACCAAATTGTTCCAATCAGACCATATTTAAATGTACCATTCCATTGAACACCTTTCAACCAGATTTTCCATGGCTTAAGAACCTCAAGCAATTATTAATTCTATGGGTTGGGGTCAAATATACATACGTTCTACTGTAGTACATGGATTCCCACACTTTGGGCAGCTCCACTGGTTTCCAGTTCCCTTGCCATTTTTGTCTTTATTCCCATCACTAGAGGATGAAATGCTTCTACAACTTTTTTCTTGGCTATGATTGAAAACTCCCAACGTTTTATAAGCAGAGGGTTTTATCAACTCTCTTGATCCAAGAATGTGGAGTCTCCTTGCAGAAGAAAATCTACAAAAGTTTACACATTCTGGAAAAAAACAAAAAGAAAAGGAAAAACAAAGACATTTATTTCTCAGACTATCAATCTACGATGTGTACATGTAATGTGTACTGCTACAGCCTGTTAAAAAGATTGTGAGCCTGTCTCTTGAGGCGTTCCAAGGAGGGGGAGGGGGAGGTTATACTGTTGCTTTGTTCGTCAATTCTAAGACTGCCTGTCTCCAAGTAGGTTAGGAAAAAATGCCACTGCCACATTTTATTTTATTATTATTTTCTTAATTTACAACAGATATAGCTCTTGGAAAGAATTAAATGTTATTAACCTTTCTCCCTTGAGTTACTGTTCTGAAAAAATACCATAATAAGAAAATTATAATAAAATGTTTGGAAAAATTGGATGGATCAAGAGCATTTCCATCAACATCACTCATAATTCCTAACCTTTAGTTATTACTAGGAAGTAGTAAACTAAGCTAATTGTGTGGACCAGTAGCCAGAACAACATTTTTTGGTCAGTACATAGAGGTGGCTAGTTGCAAAGATGCCATTTCATTTTGTGATAAGACATGAAAATATCTAAAGTAGGTTGTAAGGCTTCCTCTTATAAAAATGATATCAAACAAAGATATGAGAGTTTATTAGTAAAAAAAGCCATCACCTATTAGATAAATGTTGTGTTCAAATAAGATTTATTGATTTGTAAAAGGAACTACTGTATGTATGTTTACCAGTATGGAATGCTGGAAGAATGCAAAAAGCTGAAAAACACTTCACACAGCAGCAACTTTTTTCTCTCATTCTACCAACATTCTACACAGGTTTTACGATAGTAATTGGCAGAAGACCCCTTATCTTGCTTAAAACACCATGGGATGTGCTCTTCAGACTACAGAGAACTGTATTTCTTGTCACATATTACCATGTGGTCTTTGATTTTATCACAAAACCAGCTCGAAAGTGCCTCATCAGATACTTCTACACTGACAAACACATATGCAATTATGAATGTGCTGCATGAAAAACCATACAACTTAAAAGAGAAAAAAATTGTCTAAGCAGGTTACCTGGACCTGATTGTTATGTCATATCGATGATCAAATTTGCATTTGGAAAACACAGTTCAAAGTACAAACCTGACTTGTAACTAACAAGTTATTAATAAATGGCAAAAGCAAGAGAAGTTTTCAGTGTTAAAATCTGTTAATCACAAATGAGAGACTAACTGATCCCCTATATAATTATTCTCGTAAAGACTACTTTATGGATAAAGTTAACGGAAGTACATGTATGTCATGTACGCTCTGTACAATCGGAAATAATGACGCAAACTGTCCAAGTTCTGCCTTTCATATAACTTCGGCTAACCATAAAATCAAGAAATATGAACAATAAAAAGTGTCCCTGATCCACGATTATAGTCTTCAAAGGATTACAATGAAAAGAGCAGAAAATAATGTTGCAGTGCTTCAAAGCACTGCACAAGCCACACGCAAATATTATTCACACAAAACTGAGAAGCAAATTTATAAGTGATACTTCAATCGTTTAGATGCTTCATGATCGAAAAATAACATCTTACCTCTTGAAGTGAAGATCTGTTTACTTGACCCACTAAACACACGCAAAGAACTTGGTATTCTAAACATACTGGACATCCAAAACCTAAGACGACTTACAGTCAGGAAATTCACTTTATAAGTTTGCCAGTGAGAGATCGTCGGGAATTGGGATTTAAGACAGATATGTACAAAATATGATCCTAGGGATCTTTCACACTGAATAAAGAATATCCACTAGAGTGGAAAATGACATATAAAACACAAAAAACGTGCTAAAATGCAAAATTGGCCGGAGCGACCGAAGCTAGCCAGCCATCTTTGTTTTCAACTCATTTGCGCGTGCGTGATTGCACAACAAAACCAAACAGCCTCACCCTACCCGTCTCCTTTTGTTATGTAATCATGACGAAGAGGATTTTGCAATAAATGGGAAAAATAATAAATAAATGAATGAATGAATAAGTAAATAAATAAGAAATAGTAGTAAAAAAGCACCAGTCATGATCCGAGTTTTTGTTAAGACCTTCACAGGAAATAAACCAATAAAGCCCCCATGGTGCCTGGTAGAATTGTATTCATTCATGTCTTTATTTACAAAATTCGCTAAAAGGGCTAAATAGACTGAATAGGAACTGAAGCAAACAACTCATGGCGATTCACATGCTAGTAAAGGATAGATAACAACAAAAAAACTAATAAACAACAACAACAGCCACAAAAATTGCTGCTTGTAAAATCAACCAAAGCACACCTTACATTGTACCCACATCTCCACGGCCAAGACAGAGTGAGATCTGGGTATGAGAAGATCAATTAATTCAGTGGAATTTGTTGAGGACAATTTTTAAGACTAGTCAATTATACTTTCTACATCAAATAACGTGTATCTGGTGAAATAATGTTGTACTGGGGATGCTCTCTCCCACCGGGTATCCCCATGAAAATATAGCAATAGACCTTTCCCGCATTCCTGTAAACAAAGACATCAAGTTGAGGCTCGAGTAGACAAAATACAGTGATTTGTATGAAATTGTCCACCCGAGCCTCGACCTCATTTTTTTTATGTTTGCTCACTGGAATGGAGGCGGAAAGGTCTATGATCGGATAATCGAAACACCTCTCTTTCGCCATCCCATCGTGCCCCGCGCGCTAACTTTTTCCTTGTCCCCAGCCTCCCTTCGACACAAAGAAGCCACTGCAGAGGAGAGCTAGGGATGAGGAAAATACTTTTGACGTTGACGGACCATACACAACCATACACTTGGTAGAAGCCTAAGTAGAAGCCTGGGGGAGGTATTCCATATAATCGCCTAAACGGGGAAAGTGGTACCTTTTACAGGCTTCAGAAGATCTCAGAAGGGACGAGATTTCACGATTTGAACTACATGAAGGGCAAGGAAATTTGTCTTTTGGTCTGTAAAGGGGCCTAAAAGGGCTAATAACTGTGATAACAACAAGAAAACGTAGGGGTTTAGGCCCGGTTCAGACGCCGCTCCACTCATGTGCCGAACCTAACTGAGGTATTAAGTACGGCAAAAGAGCGGCGTCTGAATCAGTTTGGTACGGCAGTTTTAATTTGGTGCGGCAAAAACGTTAAGTTCGACAGCGTCTGTCGCATTATTCGACAATGGAGCGGCAGGTGATTCATACCGCGTTCTTCTCATGTGCCAAATCAAATGCATACATTATGATAATTTTTCTTTCTCCCTACATGAAATAAAGATTAGGTTTGACACACGATGCGGCGTCTGAATCAGATGTCGCGCCAATGTCGCTCCAAAGTCGAACCAAACTCAGTTAGGTTCTGCACATGAGTGGAGCGGCGTCTGAACCGGGCCTTAGTGACTTATTCATATTTTGAAGACCGTGCATGCATTTAGATGCAGCGTTCTAAACTTGGTGCTGTGAAAAGGATAACAATCAAATAACGGGAAAAAAATTCCGATAAGCTGCGTGACACTTTAGAAAGTAAGAAATAGAATGTCAATAAAAAATAATGATGAACGAAAGTGCTGCATCATTGGTTGTTGTAGTTTCTTTCCAAACGTTTCGGTCCTGGCTTGTCAAAGGAAGGTATACGAAAGGCGTACCTTTTCAGTCAAAAATGGTATATAAAAGGGTAAGGGTTTGACCTCTGGGCGGAGCCTCCCCGTGTAAAATTTCGTTGAGTACCCCCAGGGGTTAGAAGTTACGTAGATCTACATCGAAGTAACTAAAAATGAAACAAATGAACAAACAAACAAAGAACTAGAGACCCTAAACAGTATCAAGGAGCAAAAGTTTTTGAGGCCAAAAATTCGGCTTTTCCCTTACAGATAGATGACTGCCTCTTCTCTGGACGCTTTGCGATAAAAAAGCTTGAGGGTCTGTTACAGGGTATACTGCGTAGCAAGCGTTTGTGCGTTAGTTTTTCACGAAAGAAACACTGCTTGTTCTAACTTTCACATTTGCATGCTAACCTTTTTCCGTGGATTAAAGGCATCCAAAAGCACCCCACTTTGACGTAATTATATGGTGCCCTAATTGATTCGGTCTAGCAATGAATCACGTTGCTTCTTTGAGAAACGACATTCGGATGTGGAAATACATGTACATCTTAACAGAACGTTATTTCAGCCAAAATATTTCAAAGAAAAAAGTAGAGGCAAGAGATTTGAGACAAACTGTACTTTTTAAAATAATTATCTTCTTTAAAAATTTATTTTCTTCATTTTTATTATTGACTTTTTAAATTTATTATATATTACTTTGTTTCTTTTATACCTTGTATGTTTGTACTTTTTTCTTTTAAGGTTTGCAAGTGCGTACCGTACCTAAACGCAGTCCCCCCTGTGTAGTTCTGGAAAATATCTTATACTAATAACTAAACATGTAGGCTTGGTCTAGTAATGAATGTCTCGATACCCTAGCGATTCTGGTTGGGGGAGTCGCGAGCGCATAGAGAAGTCACGGCTGGAGACAGGCTTAACATACGGATAAGTAAAAGTTTCTGGGAAACTGCCCACCTACTCGTCCCTACATAACCCCCCAGAAAAACCGGCGCCTGCGAATAATGGCTGTCTCGCCGCCCCAACTAGATTTGAACCTGGATTGCACGTTCGCGCAAGACCCTTGGAACAACACCTAGCTACACAACCAGTTCCACCCTCCCCACTCTACGTAAAGCTGCTTGGATCATCAAACGTTATCTAGACAAGATTTAAGTTGTTGTCTCGTAAAACACTTCAACATCAATGGGATTGAATTTGTAGCTGGATCCATCTGCGAAAAAACTACAAGGAGTGGCAGACTGAGATTCAGAGTACCCAGGGGGGAGGGAGTAGGAGACACCACATATGGTGTAGGAATCCACAGCGTTATTAGTTATAACCAGATCGTTTCCACCAAAGTCTGGTCCTCTGTCAGCACACGAATTTAGCGGTTATGGTGTCACTTGGCTTGATATTCAGATTAACAGGAGCGTAGCCATTGACGTTATATAAGGAGGACAGGAACGCTTTTCTGGATGAGTGATACTCAGAACCTGTGATGAATAAACGTATTGCAGATATGTTTTGTTCAAAAAACTTCATAAACTTATCGATTTTTGATGAACTTCTTTATTTTACTCGATTCAATCTCCCCTCCCCTTCTAATAAAGCCCGCCTTAAAGAAACGCCGCATCAAAAACACTGAAATGAACATCAGACACTGCGGCGTTTAATAGAATAAAGACGGTAACTTTCTTGACCTTACCTGCTGCAACACTGTTAGTTGTTTTAGTTAAAACACGTCATAACTAACACAAGTCAGATTGATAGTGCCTTGTATGAAGAACACAAATAATACTAAAGGTAGGGAGTGTCCACGCAGTATGGCGACTTGTCAGTAAAAGCTGACCTTGACCGTTTGAAAACCTAAAGATCTTATTTTATCGTTACAGAGCAAGAAAACTCAGGCTGAAAAGGGAGAAATTCCAGTTATTCACCATCGCCCATGTAATGACCAAGAATGGTCTGAAGATATAAATCCCAAGAAAGTCGAAGCATCCATCAAGATAAAGCTACCAGTGGAGGTGCATGCAGTGTGCAGCGATTCATTGGACCAGCGAACTCAAGTACGTGTCTAAGTTCATACAAGACCAGTACTCATTAGAAATGTGTCAGCCGTTACACCGTCTGACGAACAAGGACCAACGCGTTTGGTCCGTATGCCACCTTGGAAAATCAAAAGGTTCGCACTATTAACTACTATTCCGTTTGGGATCAAAGCTTCAGAAACTAGACAATATTGGCTGTGATTTGAGGCGAAGTAATTTTTCTACTCTTTTTAACCCGTCCAGTTTGGTTTGGATTTACCTTGTAGCGAGTCATTCTCCCACCACGTCCGGTTTTATTCACAAGATTTCCAACGGGATGGTTTGTGTAAATGGTAAGAACTCAACAACTGGAAATTGCCTTTGCAAAACTTCTACAATTACTGCCAATGTGCATTCTGTACCGTGAATTGTGAGCGTCTCGTGGAGGCTTTTACACAATGATTTACATATATACCATTCGAAGAACTTTTCAGCACACAGTGTGTCCATCCTGATACCAGAAAACTACTATAACCTCAGGGTTGGTTATAGCGGGACTCGTTCTACTACAGATACTCTGATCATGATATGTAGTTAAAAACAAGAAGGTATTGCATCCTTCAATTACATAATCTGTATGTGCGAATAAACCTTTCCAGGGTCTTTCATGATCAGATACTAACCTCCCCACGACTTGTCGACGTATCCGCCAAATATGTAGTTACCGACTTGGACGATGGTGACAGTGGGACCCTTTCCATCACAGTTGCTGTGGAATGTTGATGCCGCCCAACCGCCTGTCTTAGCGTGCCAGCATCTAACAAACTGCTGTTACCTGGACTCTGAAGGACTGGGCCTAAATAGGAATTCAGCTTGTCAAGGTACTTGATGTCGAGGCTGCCAAGAATGCTGGATGAAGTGAGGGTTCCTGAAAAAGATGAGATAAAAAAACCAACGGAGACACAGCTTCGCACAAAGTGATGTAGGGATTGATAGTCTGTCACTGGTAGAGCATCATGTATCAAAACAGGTACGTACG